TTTTATAAATTAGTGACAAACCATCCATTGGGTGTATATCTATATTGTCCAGAATCGTGTTTCTAGCTTCTGATGATTCGACGAGCAATCATCTCCTCCGATAAGGTGGCATACAATGCCCTCATTCCAGGACATTTGTGATTGAAATTTCGTTTGCGATTGATATTTATCAATATGCATGCAATACGATACGTCCTCAAAAAGCCCTGCAGAATGATCGTGCCGCCATCTGGACGCGGCTCACAAAGGGAATTCGGAATGTACCCAGACGCCATTAGACAGAATTCAGCCCTTTATATACACCTCAGATGCAAAATTCAGCCGTGCGTCCCAGGTGGACAACCAAATTTTTCAGAATTTGATAATTGACCTTCGATTCATTGCCATACACAACAAACAATATTTTCGTAATATTTTTATTCATGGCTTACATACCTCGAGAATCGATTTCATATTTATGAGGGAATATCAAATTTGTTGGACCAAAATGAAAGCTCATATGCTTTATCATTTTGAACGTATTCAAGGCCTGATTGGCCCGGTACACCGACCTTTGACAATATTTCTGCCCAGATGGTGCCATATCAAGGAACAAACAACCTGCTACGAAGCTGCCCATCGATCGCCACAGGCTACGGCATGAACCTCTTGGACATACCCACAAACGGCAGACGTTCGCCGATGATGTCCGGCACCTCATCAGTGAGCGCAGACGCAGGCCTTCGATTGTTGACCTCGATTTTATTGGAAGGCCAAAATATAACCTTATGCACTCATCATTTTGCCAGATCCGTTGAATATTCCCATCCATATTGTAATGCATTGACGTCGTTGATCGCTAGGATGGGGCATGCACGACGGCTATTCACGGCCGCTCAACACAGGTCCTTGCGTTCATTGTTTCGACATTGGAGCCATATTTACCCATTTCAGATCCTTCATAAATACATTCGAATTCTTAGTCGTCGAAGCAAATGGCAACGACTTGCAGGCTTCAGGAAAGAGAACGCTGACCCTGCATTTCGATATGAGATCTTGGATTTGCGTCGACGCATTCGGCATTTTAAGCCCAAACATTCAAAACAATACATCCAAATCTTTGATAAATACGGGGCACCCTTGACCCCATAACAAGAGCTAGATCGATGTCAATAATATTTTGGTACCTTATATCATGACCCGGAATATAAATTACAGATCCCACCAGTAGGCCACCGTTCACAAAGGAACAGATCTGTGCCCAATTGCACCAATTGCCTCTCACCAAGGCCCTGGCTCCAGATGGCATCCCGGCTATTGTATGGAGATATTTCGCTGATGAGTTGGCGCCCATATTGTGTGCCGATATTGCCCGCTTTTGGTATCGTGACCGCAATTATCCATTAGATAATTGGTGCACGGGTTGGATATACCTCCTCCCCAAATCTCTAAAAATTCATTCCAAATCCGAAGCCTTGAGACCTATTTGTCTACAACACCCCATGAATAAAATCATGACCGGATTATAGTGCTAGATATTGCACCACATTGCATTTCCTCAGATTCGTTGCATGCCATCTTTTACGTATTTGCCAGACCGAATATTAAGGATTGTCTGTTGATCATTTCGGATCATTGTAAGAAGATGAGAGATATGCGCCAAGAATATCACAATGATATAATGCCCAAAGATTTGTGGGATGGACTATAAATCTCTCTTGATCTTGAAAAATGACCCCGCATCACGACGTCTTCAGATTGCCCAAACATATTTTCGTGTCCTCAAAGGTTGGCTCACGGATAGACACCACCCATTGTGGCTGCGGATTCATTTATATAGATAATGTATCATTGCCATTGTATTCTATGACATCTTTGAGATGGATATCATTAAAGAATCATAGGTTTTATCAATAATCATCACCATATCATGGTCAAATCCCCAATTCACCTCATCCGTTTTTTTTTGCCAGGTTGCACCTTGATCCTCCATATATTATAGTGCAAAATTAATTCGCACGTTTGCAATTTAATTTGAGCCAACATCGATCCACCCTCTCGGCTGACGCCATATCCACAGATCCCAATGACGTCATTGCACTGACCCCAGGCTATCCGCAATGTCAATTACTTGAGCCTGCCCCTTCAAACTACCCGTATGCACAGGTGGGGGACCTCCGATGCCCAGAATATTAATGAGCATTCCACCAGGTTGGATACCTCAAGCGATATATACGTTCATATCATTCAATCCCTTGTTTGGTCGAGAATATTTTGTATTGCCCTTGTTTGGTCGAGGTATGGACACGAAATTTATTCCCATTGTATCAAATCATTCATTAATATATATCGGTTTATATATTATATCAATCCGACCTGACCAAGGAATCCATCCTTTCGATTTGTCATCGCCCTGATCTACGAATGCATCTCCGCTATAGATGCATCCCGGCTCTCTTGTTCAATAAGGCCTTGATGGCCGAGAATGCCAATCATTGCATATATTGCCATATCGCCGCAGCTTCTAGAATCATCCGCAAACATTACAATGACGCTCATCCGCATTTGATAGGTTGAGAAAAGCCTGCCAGGGAACAGGTCTATGGACTAGTTAATCTGGGTAACGGTCGGGATACTCGTATCTTTTGTCAGAATCACTACCGAATAATTTATATCTTTTGAATCATTTATATCGAATGGGTAATTCTTTTCCAAATCAATATTATATTTAATCAGATATATGATCCCATTCATTTTCTATGCATGCCTATCATGATGCGGAGCAATATTCCTCAGATTTCGATTATGCATATTCGATCTTTGTCCATTCCTGCCGCGCCACCGCCACAGGTACGAAACACCTCAATTGCCTCTTAATCCATGGAAATCGACCATGATGACCAGGACGTTCGTTCAATGATATCTCCATCGAATTGTTTCCATGCCTATAGGATATATTACATGAATTTCTTTTTTTTTCCCCTCACATGGATTTGAAGCCCATCAAGAGCATTGTCAACCCGAATCCGTAACTCCGGAGTCCTTCAATTCGCCGAAGCAGACACAGAACGGAAATGATCCCAAAAAGATGCCATTGACCATGAAGCAAATACTAGCCATGCCGACCACCGAATGTCCTCCCTCTGCCAAGATTTACAAATGCCCGATTTGTCAGGCAAAGCTTGGACGCAAAGCCCTTATAGTTTATCTATATCGGGACCATGAGGCTGAGAGGCTCTCATACTTTCCCTTCCAAGCGGATCGTGACATGCTGCCGGGCCAATTTGCATGCAATTGCTATTTAAATGTATTCATCATGGATTTTGCATTATTCATATATTTTCGATGTTCTGTAAGTCCAATATTATTGTATGATTGGATCAAGAGGGATCACTTTGGCGCCATGTTTGACTGTGCGGCACCGTCCTTATCTGCGGTAATTCAGATATCGTCCATCTCTATTCAATTCGACGCCGTGGACACCCAGATGCAACTCATGGGATATTATGATGAATAGGCACCATATATTGCCAATGCTCTCATATATGGTCTGCAAGTGTTCGATTCAATATATGCCAATATTCACGCTGGAAAATTTCCTTCAATGATACAAGCGCTCGACCATGACCTGTGCTCATTTGTGGTAATTTCCACATTCCTATTTTATGATGATTAGGTATTTTGCTTCATCAATATCCCAATATCCACGTCCCGAAGCATTGGATTTGGATCTCGATATGCCTTGCATTTGCGTCTCCGCACCGCATTGTAATCCACGAAGATGAGGCAATATAGATTTATCTCGTTGCTTCATTATTGATTGATATAGCACAGGCTCTGGACTAGGACTGGATCAATTGAATCAATTGATTTTTCCTTTGAAATTGTTCGCATATCCATGGATGTTGAAATGATAACGGACAATCAATCTTATCAGGATCTCCTCCAGGCTTATGGGAACCACCATTGATTGGCAGGAATACCAATGGCCAGTAGCGATCCAAGCATTATTTCAATGTATTAGAGTCAATATTTTCTGGCTCTGGCAGGCTATTATTACGATAAGAATATTTTTTGAATAAGATGAATTTAAATCGATCCTATTTGGTATTTGTTCAATGTGGCCGCGGCAATCTAATATACCTCAACTTCTGGAATATTTTCGTACATGGAATCTGCAAGAACAAGCAGGGGAAGCCCGCCGGGACCTAGCCATTGAGGTTTGGCGACTAACATTGTTATCGGAGAATGGCCGTTAAGGTTCGATAATTTTTATTGCCATTCAAAATTAAAGAATAAATAGGTGGATATCAATATATCAATAAAAATAATATATATATATAAAATATAGATTTAAATAATATATTTAGATCATAACAACAAAATAATGAAATTCTATATATTGTTTAAATAAAATCAAATTTTATATAAATTTAAATATAGTTTTCCTTTAAATTTATTAATATTCATTTTATATATATAATTTTTATTTATTACAATATATTAAATATTAGATTTATTATAAAAATAATTATTAAATCAATAATATAAAATTCGATAAATAATATATTAAATAATATTTATGCTACAAAATATTAATTAAATAATTAATTATTATTAAATATATATATATCCAAAATATAATATAAATATATAATCGATATCAACTAAATCAATTTTAAATTTATATATATATAATTAAATAATATATATATTAGTCCTAAATATTAAATATATTAATTTATTCAATTCAAATTAAAATATATTTAATTATTCAATAATACAATATAAATCAAAAATCAAATCTTTATTTATATTATTTATAATATTTAAATAATAAAAATAAATTAACCATAATAATTATTAAATATGTTTTTATTATATATATATTTATATATAATAAAATAGATTTTAAATTCATAGATCTATATATTATATTGTTTAATATTCTATTTGATATATTATCCTTTCATTCGTCCTTTCGTTTTAATAATTCTAATATACCAATATATTTTTTTTTTGTTCGGGAACTTTGTCCGCCTGTATTTGATAAGGAGGTGGGCCACGAATTTCAACATATGCACATCTTGCCCACGTTCTGAAAATTCTTATTGAGCCATATAGTCACCATCATCTTTGGACCATAGCACAATGAACCTGCGGCGACGGCTGATTTTTTTTATAGCACAAAATCTTGCGTTATGATGATTTCCCCTGAAACATGTGAGGCCAAAAAACAGCGTTTGTTCTCCCTACTGCCGAAGAATCGCTTGCTTGCTACAATGCCATGGCCTCTGAGATCATGAAGAGGAAAATACTTGCGATCTATACAGCAGCCAGTCCGTTTTGGTTTCGCCATGCAGCCAGAACCACATCTAAATATCGTTTGCTTCAAAGAAACACCAACGTGGGCCCACATTCCCCTTTACCGGAGAACCTACCATGCCCTCTGGTCGCAGTTTTGCAGGTCGCACCTCAGAGTTAAGTACATCAAGAAGCCAATGGGGCCTGCATTCCCGATAGGCAAAAGCACTTTCAAGCCGGAAGGAAAGGGCGCAAGGGTTTGTCCTTACAAGTTCAGCCGAGTTATATATATTGGGATTTGTAAAAGGCATTCTCGGCAGAAAAGTACCATCAAAAGGCCAAGTAATCCCTCAAGCAGCTCCTTATGCATAAGTGTCGCAAGCTACCCTGAGGCAGCATTGCTCAACTTGCCTTCTTACATGCAACATGGCACGTATTGTCTCTTGCTTTTCAGACTTGGAGTTGCACACTTTAGCATGGCCATCAACACCTCGGAGTCCGTGCCCTCTTCAGTGCCTACCAACATGGTCATGAAGAGGCACGGGACCACCAGCAAATGTGGTACCTGCAACATCTGCTCGAGAGCCTATAGGGTTCATGGAAGATTTGTTTCGCCACCGACACTGGTCCATGTTTCGACCTGTTGACCAGCAAGAAGCCCTTCAAATGGATGACACTCGATGCTGCTTGCATAAACTTCCTCTGAAATCCAAGACACGTGTCAGGAACAAGCCAGCAACTAATCAAGCAACACAACACGGCCAATGGATACATCTGAGGAAATCAAAGGGACATCAAAAGGAAACAACAAACACATCAAACGTATTTCCTCAGCAAAAGGCTTCTCACTTGCAAGTCACTAAAAGTACTTGTGAAGATGTGAAAGGACAAGCTGTTTGCATATATATATATATAGGTGTGTGTATAGAAAAACAGGTTAGCTGCCAAAGACCTTTTGAAGTAACTAGGCTGGTGCTGCATCTTCACCATGTCTTGGGGGGCGAGCATGACAATCTCAAGCCATGGAACACCTACATATACTGACATACACCTACTGTGAAGAGTCGGTTTTGGCCAAGACCGGTGATGAACACGAGAACCCAACCTGTGGAGTCCAGCCTTCACTTGCCGACTGTCAAGCACCTCACCCAAGCCAACCAAGGGATCAAAGACCTGGGCCGGCAGCCACGGCCATATTGCGACGGCGAACGGAGCACGCCTAATTATCTGGAAATATCGAGGTAGCATGACATACTGTATGGCACTGCAAGACTCCTGTAAATATCGATCTTACATATGTTTTAAATCATAGTTTGAATTTTGAACGCCTATCATTGTTGAATATTACGTACTATAGATTATTGTTATGGGATGCCATAATTTGGCTGATATAAGGACCTTTGAATCCAGGTTGGAACGTCCGCGGTACTGTCGGTGCCCAAATAAGATGCTGAACGCTTTTTCAAGTCCGCAAAACCTGCAGCTCAAGGACACAATAGTGTAGCCACCCCGCAAAACACGCATCAGAGTTTGCGAACATTGCACGGATGCCTCCCGGGAATCACTCCGAAAGTGAACGGGTAGGACGGTAAACATACGTGTTGCAGGGGCACAACATCTGAAATATCCTGCATCACAGCTGGCAATACACACATAGGCTCCTCTCCACATTCATAGACATTTTTTGCCTTCAATTGTGACGTCATGCAAATGCTTTTGGGGGAATTGAAATGCTGATGACTAATTGTTGCCAACCCCGAACCTGAACACGGGCAGGACACGCCGGGGACGTAGCGATTTCATGGATTCCAGCCACAGCTAACTGTTACAGCATGACTTCATTTTGCCCTGAGATCCAGCCTTCCAGACAACTGAAGTTGATCTTGGCGTCTTGGTTTCCGCTTATGAGAACAGCGCCGGCTATAAGGGTGTAGAAGATGGCATTGATCACCGGACCCAGAAGCACAGCAGATGGAAGCTTTCGCCAGCTGGGGAAGAAGATCAGGCAGACCCAGGAGATCAAGCTTGCATTTGTAACCTCAGGTAGCTCCAAACTCCAAACGTCCAAAAGCTTCCAGCTCTGGACACGCGAAGGTCCTGACCTGTCCTGACCGAACACAACATCGATTTCTGCATCCATGCGACTGGGAACAGTTGCTCTGAACCTGGGTATGTCGGCGATCCCGGTCGAGGACACAGCATCGTTCGCTCAAAAACAATCTCTCGGCAATCAAGGCGTAGGAATGGATGTTGCATAGTTTTCATGTTCCCCCAAACGAAAGGACTTGAAAGATCCGCTTGGGTTGCCACAAATGATTGGCTGTCTTGCATGCCCCCACACTGCTTCGAAACCCCCAACATGCTCGAAACATGTTCTAAGACCCATCGCCCAGGAGCTGAATCCCAGAAGCTTCACACCGCTTGACTTTGAGCTCGAAGAGCCTGGTGTTCCGGACCTCAACATGCGCAGAACAAAGACTAAAAAGGGCAAAGGCTGTAGACGTTCTTTGCGACCTTTCTTTGCGACCTAATGCACTCCAAGAAGCGGATTCGATTTAGAAACTCATTATTTGCTACGACCATGGCTCAGTGGGTTTGGACGGCAACCTTTATTTGGATGCCATAGCCATTTACGAACCACTATTCGCAAGAGTACAAACTGCTTTTAAGTACCCTGCAAGCGATGGCCTCCACCCTACTAGCGATGGCCTACAACCTAAGAGCGATGGCTGGATTAGATAGACAGCTTTGAATAGAACCAGGGTACAGCCATACACAGCCTGATGCAGGTGTCGTCAAGGTCCAAGTCGCTGCGTCGCTTCTTGGGTTTCTTCATGCTATTTGCTGCTGTTGCATGCTGTTGCTGCGTGTTGGTCCGGAGCTTGGGTGTTGAAAATGTTGGAGTTTGCTCAGTTGACACAATTTGTTGACCCTTCTCGACGAACACCACGAGTCGCCTGGCCTAGGCGTGAAAGTCAGATCTGGGCTGAGCCTTAGTGCTTCTCAAATGCTGAGTCTGGGTTTTCAACAATGCGCAAGAAACATGAGTTTCTTTTGTAAAGCCCGCTCTTACCAAACTGAGTAGGCACCTACTTGTTGATTAAGTAAGGAGCTAAACACGCTGCTACTAGGCTAGGTAAGCTTCTAGCTAGGACGCAACAAAGTTCACGCTTCTTCAAGGAAGCTCCCGCCGCCTGAGGGCGGGGGAGAGCTTCCTTGAAGTTATCCGTCTGCCATTCAAATCATTTCAAATCCAGTCTTGCGACCTGCGCTGTCACTTTGCTCATTGCTTAACCCAGAGTCTTCTTTTACTTTTCGCACAAGACTCGGTGTGCTGCAAACCTTTGAGACGCGAACTTCTTGAATGAGATTAACTTCATTGACCTACAAGTAACTACAGCAAGGCTAACTAAGGCTCTAAGGCTTGTTGCATCGAGTTACTCTATTTACAGTGTCTTTCGTACCTTGTTGAATAGGTACACGGCCTATGGTGTGCTGTACATCTGCCGGTCCAATTGCCCATACCTACAACCATGGGTCACGTCCGAACAATGGTGTTCTTGTTGTGCAAATTTGTGCAAGCCCTGGAGGTTCAAAAGGACCAGGGCAAATCAACATGAAGCAATGCCACAAGTTATACAATCGCAAATATTGCCCATACTAGTACTGTATGTCTGTATATTGTATAACACTCAATACTAAATTACTTTTACCGTATATATTTCAGTATATATTATATATTGTACTGTATGTATAAATAGAAGGCTCAAGCCATTTTGGCTCAAGGGCTCAAGCCATTTCAGCATCAAGCCAAGTGACCTGCCGGTCACCTGGCTAAGCAGTACAACACGGTCGCAATAAGACTGACGGCAAGGCAGGCCTGATCGTGTTCAAAGATGAGAAGGCAGTATATGGTCTGCACCCATTGCCGGCAAAGCTGGATTTGGGGAGACAGATTGATGACGCAACCCAGGTTGACATGCAACCAGTGCGGCACCAGATGGCAAAAAGATCACCTACCGGATTTGAGGAAGTCCAGAAAGGTGACTTGGGCATCATGGAACTTTGATGGTTCTGGACAAAGGTGGCCCACCAAGACTTTCAAGGAAGCTTTGCTAGAGCCACCACCCGGTCTTCATGGAGGCCAACGAGGCAAGAAGGCCAAAAAGGTCAAACAGCCAGCGATACACAAGGCCTTGAAGGACCATTCGAACCAACTGCCTGCTGCTCTCAAGGAGAAGTGTCAGGCCATGGGTGTTGTGGAGGTTGAGGCTCCAGTCACTCCAGACCTGCCGACCTTGATCAGGAGCATTTGCAGAGCCTTCCAACGGACCTCAAGGAGGCGGTAGAAAAAATTGGTGGCTCCAAATCCACCAGAACCGCCACTAGCATCCAAAGTGAAGCAAGCTGTGGGGACCTTGAAACAACTCACGGAGAAAAAGGCGGCCATTCAGGCCAAGGCTGATGCAGTGAAGACTCAGTATACCCAGTTGTTGCAAGATCTAAAGGAGCTGCAGACCAAGATCGAGACCGCCCAAAAGGAACTGCAGACGACCACATCTCAGTACAATCAACAGCTGGAAAACCAGAAGCAGGAAGATGCTGAAATGGCAGAGGAGCTATCGCCAGAAGCCTTGGTCACGGCGATGGCTAGTGTGGGCTTGCAGGCAACATCAGCTCAGGTGAAAGAGCTGGCAACAAAGCTTGGTGAAACAGCCGCAAAAAGAAGGAAGTGCGGGTAACACCAGGGCACTGGCAAAAGCTCAGCAAGGGGATGACACAACTACTAGCTATGCTACATCTCAGGGGAACAGAGAGAGCAAAGCGACTGGTTGTGCAGCTTTTGGCTCAGGATGTGGGGGGCACGTCTCTTCGTTTGCTGACATGGGGACACAGGCCATCCAGCTGATGGCCATTACTGAGGCCGGGGTTTTTTCCCGGCTTCGGTGATCATGATGTCACGATGATCCCAACCAGCGATGATGACGCAGGTGACAAAGATGACACAATGCGGGGTCATATGAGCCCGCTCGATTTTGTGGCTCAGAGTTTGCAATGCAGACTGGGCAACCCAAACAACAGATGCTTTGCCAATGCTGCCTTTCGTCTGTGGGCATGGGCAGGTAGTTTCATGGACGGCAGGCAGTTGTGGGCAAAAAACCACAGGGGCAGTTCTGGAGGCACTCAGGGCAGATGACATTGTGCATCTACCAAATCTTCCAGGCACAGAGAAGCTTTGGGAACAATTTGACGACGCCAAGCAGGATGACGCGTCCCATTTTCTGCAGGAATTGGTTGCGCTGGCGGAAACAAACAGTGTGATACAGAGCTATCATCATGTGGACTTCCGGCAAGTGGTTCATCAATGTCGAGCCTTCCCAATGCACCTGATTGTCCAAGAAGATCAGGGTACAAATGAGATGGAGCAGCTCATAGCAACGTGGGCAAACACAGCAGAAGGCCAAGTGTTTGATGGTCAAGGGCTATGGGTGGCTCAAATAGGACGATACAGGCAAGTGAATGGAGCCTGGACCAAACATCACCGTGAACTTCAGGTACCTTCCATTTTCAACCTGCCTTTGACCATGGATGGCAATGAAACACAAACGCTGCAGTTTTCTGTCATTGGTTTCTTGTGTCATTCCGGCACAGCTCACCAAGAAGGGCATTTCTTTGCAGTTTTTGTCTATAGAGGGCTGTACTGGCTAGTCGACGATGGGGCTTATCCCAAGGCTATCCAAGACTCAGTGACAAGATCAAACAGCAGATTGTTCAAGTGTGGGCCATCCCTTCATGCCGACTGCTGCCCGACAATGTGGGCAGTGACCTGGAGGAAAAACCGAGCAGACAGATCGAGACACCACATCCCAAACGAGGGTGCAAGGAAAGCATTGAATTTGACTTTGCCAATGTCACTCAGCTAGGGCATTTAGTCCGACAGTGGGTGGTCACTCGACCTCGCAAACCGCTCTTCATGGTCGAAACACACCTAGGTCCAGGGGATCATGAAAAGATGGTACAATGGTTTGCAACTAGAGGCCTTGGAGTTCTAGGAGAACCTGCAGCAGAGAGTGTCAAAGGGGGCACCTATGGGGGGTTCATGATGGTCTATCCTTGGCACATGCAGTTCCACTTCCTGCAGAAACAAAACATTGAGGGCTGCGGATGGTATGCTGTAAGCTGGACTTTTGCCAACAGCACACTGGTCATGATCATGACGTACTTCAAGTGTGGGGAGGGCCTGCAAGGTCCGACTAACGCCACACTTTGGGGAAGCTTAGTGGCCTTTGTCAAGCAGCTGCAGAAACCGGTTGTGGTTTTTGGTGACTTCAATGTCAGCCCGGAAGTGTTCATGACAACGACAATGGCACAAACAATGCAAGTTCAGATCCTGGCAACGGGGGAAGAAACGTGCAACACGGGCAGCGAGTTGGATTGGGCCCTTGTCTCAAATCTTTTGATTGCGGACATGCGCATTCAAGCAGATTGGATGGTTCCTTTCAAGCCTCATGCCATGCTGCGCTTCAGTATTGCTGGGCCTTTTGAAGAAGTTGTAGTCAGGCAACTGTCAAAGTTTGGGCCAGCATCAAAAATGCAGAAGCAGGAGAAAGACTGGCATCAGATTGAGGAGCAGAAAGTTGAAGTCAAGTGGTTAAACAAAGAACCTGACAACCTCACCAATCAAGTTGGCAACCTCTATAGCCGCATAGAGAGGTATGTGTTGCAAAACCTTGAGCAACCAGGTTTGGGAAGAGGCACAGCTCTGCATTACGTGCAAAAGCCGCTGATTGACCCCAGCAAACCTTGGATCTGGCGGAAAGGGAGCCTCGCTTTTTGGGGCCAAATTGAGATCAGATTGCAAAGGTTGTTGCACCAAACAGACCGTGAACCTAGGCATCAAGGGGCTTTGCAAAAACTTGGCTGGCACATTGATGAAAACTGGCATAGTGATGCTCCGGTGACATGTCAAGGATACAAGATGCTCTTTGAGATGCTTTGGCACCAGCACGGTGATGAGCATATTCATGTGTTGCTGAACTACACGCAGAAACAGAGAGAATTGCATCAGCAAACCAGCACGCAACAAGAGACAGAGGAATACAGGCAGTGGCTAGCCCAAGCAGCGCACAAGGGCTGTAAAGGCCTCTATCACATTTGAAGAAAGATGAACTCCCGTATTTGCGGCCGTTCCAAACACTGCCTCGAGAAGAACGAATGGCCAAGAGGGTCAGCCAGTGGGGTAACATTTGGAGAGTGCAAGAGCAGCCGGTTCTTATTTCCTGCATGGAGAGTCTCATTGAGAAAGGGCAGTCTGAGGCAAAAGCAATGGAGCCGCTCACAGAGGCACACATTTGGTACACCATCAAACAGCTGGCTTTGAAAGCTCCCGGGTTGGACGGCATAGGTTTTGATTTTCTCAAAGCTCTTCCTTTCAGTGCCATGACTGATTTGAAGGAAATGTTTCATCACATTGAGAGCTTGGCCATGATCCCACATCAATGGGGTGCATCTTTGATTGCACTTCTGCCAGAGTCCCAAGTGATTGAAAGACCCATCGCGTCAGTTGCCACTCTCTACCGGCTATGGTGTCGACTTCGCAACAAGTACACCAAACAGTGGGCACAAAACATCCAAGATGAATATCCCTGGGAGCGAGCGGTTCCTGGAACAGAGTGTTTGCCAGCGGCGCTCAAGAGATCCTTTATGACGGAACACCACACGGCACACAGACGCACTGTTGTCTCGGTTCTGTTGGACCTCTCCAATTTCTATGACCGCATCTGTTTGCAGAAGCTGGCCAATAGATGGGTCGTGTCCACATATCCTGCCACTCATGCAGCAATGGCAATGCAAGTTTACAGCGGGAGTCGGATCCTGGAAGCAGAAGGTGAGGCTTCAGAACCTTTGTGGGGCACCCATGGAATCCTTGCCGGAGATCCTCAAGCTCCTTTGGCAGCCAAAGTGTACCTGCAGAGAGCCCTGAAGGAATTCCACAAGAAATACCCTCGACTGCACACAGACCTTTGGATCGATGACCTGAGTTTTGATGTTGTTGACAAGGATCCTCACAATGCTGCCAGAATCGCCATTCAGGCATACAACTTTGTCAGAACAGAACTTGAGAAAGATGATTTGAAAGTTTCAGCCCAAAAGACAGGTTTTGTTTGCTCGAATGCAGCTGTCAAGAGGATCTTACAGGAACAACTTCCTCAAGGAGGACCACGCATACATGACGTGATGAGAGATCTTGGAGTTGACTGCACAGCAGGGCGCCTGCGAAGAATCCAGACTTTGAGAGGCCGGCGCAGCAAGGCAGCTAGGAAAACCAGAAAGTTGCAGGCGCTGAAGATACCACTGAAGTCCATTCGCTTGAAGTTGTATAAGGGGTCCATTGTCGCTGGCATCAGTTGGGGACACGAGGCCATGGGCCTGGCCCCGCAAGTTAGGCGCCGTCTCAAGGCCACAATGGGCCGTCAGATGGGACTGCAAAAGACAGGGAATGTTGACATCCTTTTCGACATGATGCCTCAACACCGTGACCCCGACTATGGTGCCTTTGAAGATCAGGTCCGGCTTTACCACCGGTTCTATGGCAATTGGCCGGAACATCTTGGGCGAGACCTTGAGAAGGCCTGGCAAGTCCACCGAGAACGACTCCAGCAGGTGAAGTAATTGGCAGCACGCCAAAGGACCTGTTGCTGCCTTGCAATGCTACCTGCATGAACACGGCTGGAACTATGAGAGCCACAGTGAGTGGACAAAGCCTGGACACAATGGGCAACCGGAGTTTCGGCTGAACATGCATGCTGATTGGTTTTTCCTCAAGCAAGAGCTTGCGCGGGCCAGAAGATGGGAGACGGTCATGAAGATCAATCAACGATCGCAGTTGGCAGAGGTGCAGCAACCCCTTGACTGGCTTCCCTGGAGGCGACTCAGCCGAACACTCAACAAACAACAAAATTTGGCATTGCAGACCTGGCACCAAGGAGCTCTGTTTTCCAAGAGTTCCGAAGGACAAGAGGGCAAGCACCTGATTTGCCCACATTGTCAGGTTGAAGCCACCACCATCCATCTGCTATGGACATGCCCGCAGACGCAAAAAGCCTGCAAACCGCTAGACAGGGCTGACAAGGCAGAAGTCGAGCTGGGAATCAATCTTGATTTCTGGTCACAGGGACTCATCCAAATGCCCACCTATGAGGTGTCAACTGGAGGAGCGGCGGTTCAGACCTGGGGCTCCTGGACCAGCCATGACGAAGTGAACCTGCAAGACACTGACAAGGTGACAATAGGCATAGCAACCACTAGCAAAGATGTGCGACTCAAACATTTCGTTGTCGCCTTGGTGCACCACGCACAAGTTGATGGAGTCCTTTACCGCAAGGGTGCGGTAACAACAGTGTTGCCAGGAGCTCAGTCACTAGAACGTGCATGGTTCTACGGCTTGAGACTGATGGCCCATTACCTGGACTTGTCGAAGAAAGTGGTTGTTCAAGTGCTTTCAGTGCGAGCCTGGGAAGGCTGGATGAAACAAAAACATCGTGAGGTTTTTCACGATTTGAGCAATCTGGTCACGCATGATCAGAGATCCCGTATTCAGCCCATGAGCCTGACCTTGAAGCAGATCAATGACATGCCAAGTGGACCTTTCACTGTTCAGGCTCGAATGAAGGACGCCACCAAGGCGGCCAAGGAGGTGGCCATGTCACTCAGACCAGAAGCGCTGGAGGAGGAATTGAAGGTGACTGACCAGAGGTACCAGAAGATAGCTCCATTGGCAATTCAGCGCATCAAGCACCTCTTCGAGGACAAGGGTCACTTTTTGCATGATGGAAACAGGGAAAAAGAATAGAGCGCAAGCCAGAGAGGCCAAGAGCCAGCTGTTTTTGGACATCGGCAATCAGCACCAAGACGGCGGGCATGTATGGCAGACCAAGGGTTCTGGTCTCCAGTGTGGGGGCTGCAGCAAACGGATCACAAAACATTGGAAGATGGCTGATTTGGAAGCTGTCAAAAATGACAAGTGTCCGGCTGGAGCCACACTCCAAATCACTGGAGGAAACCAAGCAGGCCTCTCAAAAAAGAGAGTTGCTACAGCAGATGCTGACGGGCGCGCTGCCCGAGATGTCAGCCCACCGATTTGAGCTCCAGAAGAACTACCTTGTGTGCATGGAGTGCAAAAGCCGCATTTTGCGGCATGCTGCAAAAGAGAAGTTGGTGGCTTTAGCCACAACGCCTTGCTGGAACGGGCCTTGGGAGGAGGCCGAAGGTTGGGACGGGCATAGCTCGCATGTCCTGTGGAGGCAGGGTGGCAGATTGTCCTGCCAACAGTGCAAATCACATGCCATCAGCAAAGAAGGCAAGTTTATAGCCAGCAAACAACTTCGACTACCGTGCGGGGCAGATGGGCGACAAAGCAAGTTGCCAACTTGCTTCAGGGCCAAAACGGCCGAGAGCTTGAGCTGAGGAAAAGACACGAGAAAAAATAATGTATAAATAGAAACAACTTCCAAAAACAAGTGCCGAGGGGACTACTGACTACAGGTCACGAATCTGTGATGACATTTTAATTGCAAAATGGGTGGCGGGAGATACAGTATTCAGATTCTGTCTACTGTACAGGACATTATTCTACACACTTGAGCCACATCTGCCCATCCTCGCCTATCCCGAGCGAAGCAGACTTGATCTCCAAGGGGCGCGAAGAGCACGAACAGTGCGGCACAGGCGCGGTAGGCCCAGAGTGAGCACCGTCTCATGGCTGTGAGCCGAGAACTTGCAAGGTCACGACCGGTGCACCGCGGTGAAGCTGCCACAATTTTAAGGGTTTTAGGAAGTTCAGACCATTTTAACGCGATTTTGTTTAATCACACAGCCATAGCCTTTGAACCGAATCGAACCCAGCCACCAGGCGCTTTCCACCTCTCCTGTAATGCATGTCTACGTCTCCAGTTCAAGCTACGAGAACAAAAAGTAGAAAGGTGAACATTACTTTGACACTGCAATGTTTTGGACCTGAATGCATTGAGTGAGGCGTTCATCCGTATTTGTCTTCTCCCTGGCTCTTGTCGCAAGTCCCCTCTTAGGACTTCGGGCCTAGATCTAGATGCCCAGGAAGTCTGGTTGCTGGTTGCCTGCCTATATTCTGACATGGATCCATGATCCAAACGGAATATACACCAGGGTAGCACCTAGCATGTGATTTGACTCCCTGAACAGTTCACACCCACCCCAAAGCTCTATCAGCTTCGAAAGTGAATGAGAGCATCCTGGCATACATGGGTGAGATTGACAAGCCAATCTGCACCTGTCCGAGCCCTAGGCCCTAGACTGTCAACTAGCTCAAATCTCTTGAGTGTTTTTTACCTATTTTTAGCGCACTCCCCCCCTCCCTGCATAATTAAGTAGGCACCTACTTAATTTGATTAAGGGGAGGTAGCTATTAGCTTTTCAGTAGCTACTACTCAAGATGCAGGATAGCTCACGCTTCTTCAAGGAAACTGCACCCGCCTCCCTAAAGGCGGCGCGGGAAGCTTCCTTGAAGAAGCGCTCGCACTGATGATTTGGTTTCTTGACGTTTAGGGAAACTTAACAAGTTCTGAACCAACTCTCGCCACTAAGACCAAAACACGCAAACCAACTGAGCCCGTTTGTGGCCCTTCATGGCCTTTCATGATCTTTCACGCCAAGCCTCGCAGCTCCGTTGAAGGAGTTGCAAAGTGAAGGTGCTTGGAAGCAACTGAACCTCAAGCCAAAACAACATCTCTCTATGGCTTCCACTTGCTCTGGCCTCTGAACCTTCAACGGATGCATAATATCAACACAGTGTTTCACCAGTCCGCTGACCAGTTTCCGCCTTGTGGAGTGTCTAGGGCCTATTCAAGTCATGTCTTAGACTTCTAACTCAGGTGACTCAGGTAGAGTCTACCGTTCCTAGGTGCGTTCTTGTTACTAGTAGCTTCTTGCTACAGTAATGGCCTCCAACCTAGTAGCGACTATTGCTTTCCACATACATGTCACACCCGAATTCTCAGCGTCATGACACTGACGATTGCGCTGCAGGTCTCTGCGTCCTGGGAGCTTCTCTTTCTGCGGCATGTGCTTCTTGTACAGCAAAAAATACAGCTAAAGGAATTGGTTACAGTAGTTGTGTTACGTTAGACTTGCAACCCTGAAGTGTACGATTGCCAAAAGCTGGCTAGCGTTAAATGCAGTGAAGTCGCATTGTGCAGTCAGAGCTTCACAGTGTTTGTGTGTTGTATCAGACTTATTAGACGCTTGGCTTCATCACATCATATAGACCGGTATGTGGACAGTTATCATGTGTGTGTGTGCGTGGGACAATGTGCAGCACGGTGTGCGGGGACTCAAAATTGCAAGAAAACATATATAACTTGGCAGCAGGTGTCCATTCCACATATTTTATACTCCTATCAGCTTGAAACAAAAGCGAATCAATATGCCAAGCGAGTCCTCATTCCTCATTCGATCCTGTTCCAAGTGCTAGCTGCTGATAGGAAAATCAACATCCAAACGCCGATTCCGCTGCCCCAAGCGAACTGTGCATCTGACCATCGCCACACCTGCAGTGACCTGAGACATCGACGCGATGAGCCGATCTCTGCCGGACGGATGAGCCAAAAGAAGACGACTGGCTGAAGGGGGTGTCCTAGGTCCTAAGTCTAGCAACAACTTCTTGGCCTTTGCAAGCTGAGGGAGATTTGGCAGCCCCAAGCAAGGTGTTTGGGATGTTTTTGCTTCCTACATCTGCCATCTTGCAGTTGTCTTGGGATTGGCAAAATCCAAAGGACATCCCCGTTAGTTAGATGATGGTTCTTGGAGGAGCAACTCCGTCTTGCAGCATGAGATAAATATATTCTGCATCACTTTGGCTCAGGCCACTTCTGGCCTTTCCACTCAAACCGATCTCTTTGCCCTGAGCCCCACTAAGTTCTGTGCCATCTCAGAAGACATGGCGAGAACCAGGTTTCTCTGGGATGCCTGGGCCGGGCTGCAAATGAAGCATAGGTCGGACTCTCCGAAGGTTTGACTGGGACCAGCTGATTACTGTATACGCGTCGTGGTATCATTGTGACTACGCCTCAAAGTGTTCTTCCAACACCTTCGAAGGCCCTTGGGCCCCATTTGGGCAGCTCCAGCGTTTCGTAAATCGTGCTGCAAAGAAAGGAGCTCCAGACTGGGCATATCTTGGGATCCCAGCACGAGCACAGGCAGCGATGACAGCGCTGAAAACGACCGTGTTGATCCGCAAAGCTGCCTCTGGTGGGACAGTTACAAAAAAAACTACAGGCCAACGTCCCGGATTTCAATTTGAGAGCTCTAGCTATGGCACGCTATGACAATCCATGACAAGTTTACAACTATATAATGACTCTAAGACACACCCGCGATTCAATACGATTCAATCCTCGACCATCTCAGCCAGGATCAAGATCGAAAGCTGCCAGTCCTGGGAGTAATCAAAAAACGGGGTCCCCTTGTCTGGCTGGAGAGGACGTGCTGCCGGTCCCAATGTTTCCCTCGATCCTTTGAGGTTTAAGAGTCAACATGTCAGTGGAGCATTCAACATCCAGTCAGGCAATCCAAGCGCCCCAAACATCCAGCCGAGATGAGCAACCAGGTGAAATTCTTCGCTCATGTCCATTGACGCTCCTTGGCGGCCTTGACCGCCGCACCGTAGCTCACCACATTTGGCCGCACGCGGCACGACGCCTGAAATCGCCATTTGCCGGGACCTGTGACCTGTGGGAAGGGTTTAGGGTTTCAGGGATTCTGGCGAAGCAAAGCCTCCTTGGTCTTCGCATTCCCACCCCCAGGGTTTAAAAAAACATGGATGCGTGCTAGAAGTGGCTGAACAAATAACACCCAATTACATCAAATGACTTCTGCTTTTCATTGTTTCTTCTATGTTTTTCTTACTGAATCTTACTGTCCTCTGGTGCACAATGGTGACCTATAGTTACGTTGAATCAATCGGGCGCTCCGGGCCATCTGCTGAAAGAGCCCAGAAGCCGCAGGCCACCTGTATCATCCGCTGCTTGCGTGGGATTTGAGTTGAGATGTGTTGAGTGGTCAATTCATTTGCTCTTTCCTTCCGCCTGTCGTGCCCAATTCTGTTGTAAGGAAAGAATTCTGTGTCATCTTCCAACACAATGGCTTTCTAGACCGTCAGGTCGGCTATCTTAGTTGCTGTAAATCCACTCCTCAGGCATGATGCTGATATTCCGTACAAACATACATGAACGACCCAGCCATTCTCCGCGAGCAAGCTTACATGAATTTCCAACGTCAAAAAGCAACGCTGCCATTTCAGGGCTTGGGAGTACATTGAAAGGATGACATGGTAATCAAAGGTACATAACTTTAACCAAGTGACGCTGAGCTCTTCTCACAAGCAGAGATGGCAGCTGAATACGTGAACACATTGCCTGGAAGCTTCGAACCAGTTACCGGCTTGAAAGTGAAGAGCAGCTGAATCCTAGTCCTAGTCAATCATGCACAGCTCTCCCTACCGACACCTGATCTTGCTCGGCTGCCAAATGGCCCGCACATGGGATGGCAACTCACAGGTCAGAACCGCCGAAATGAGTGGAACAAAAAACCTCTCATTGTTGACTTTTTGCTGCCTACGCAGCGATAGCCAGCCAACTCTCCCAAGCTGTGCAAAGCTTCAAGCCACCTTGGAGTCGTCGCTGTGTCTGCGAGGTCGCCGCATGGAGAGCTAGCGGACATGAAAGTCTGTAAAGATGGGGAAAGCTGACTGTTTGGCACATCCTGTTTAACACTTTTGGCACCCAGCTGGGGGGGGAACTCCAGATAAGCTGAGCATCCCAGCAGGCCCCCTTCTTCGCAGGCTTTGATGCTTGCGCTGCAAGTTACCACCTGAATGTTCCATGCTTCTGTGGGCCCACTAACACACCTCCGGAAAAAAGAGGCAAGTTGCCATCCTGTTAGGGTCCCCTTAAAAACGGATGTGGCCAGGCCATGTCCTCTGGACATGAAATGGTCGAAGGATGTTGAAGGTACACCTGAGCGCGATACACCACAACCGTTCCATTCTGTTACAATGTTTCTTTTGTGTCGTGTACCAGCCCTGTGTCTTATGTATATAGTTGTATACTGTATATTATATTAGAATACTTAGATCAAGTATGTATCTGGGACCGAGCCATAATGCATGAACAGGTCAATGATGAATGCCTGCAATAGAATTGTTGGTGTATGTTCTGAGCCTGGCAGTCTTTGCGGGAAGATCTAAAGGTATTTCCGACTTCTCGACACATCCTAGCATCACTTAGTCTGCTCGAACGTGTTCTTAAAGGTACATTGAATCCTCAGATCCTCAGCTGATGTGGTGAAGCGGTTCCATTGGCAACATACCATGTAGAGGTCAACCATGCTGAGATTCCCAGCGTTCGCCTTCTTTGGGCACGGTGCACCTGCCCAAACTCCGACACTCCAGTCCATTCCAGTCGTCCGACACTCGGGGATTCCGTCTGATTCGGCGCAACCTTCTGATTCTGTCGCTTTGCCGTTCAGTGCTGTGGACACTTGTTGTTCAATTACTGCAACTCCTTGTTGACAAGTCCATAAAGCAAGTCAAAAAAAAATGTTGATGTTGCCGTTTAGCACGATTTAGCCGTTTAACGGTGTGTTTACCCATAGGTATGCTTGCATTTGACTTTCGCTTCAATCCGTAGCTTGAAGCAGGGGCTAGTAGGGGCTTGCGCTGCGCTTGGGCACAAACCCTGTCAAGGTGTTATGACACAACAAGAGGGCAGTGCAGGTATGTCCAGGTGGTGGAGCCGGTCTTTCAACTGGATATGCCACGCATGGCTTTTGTTCGTTGCTTACACCACATACATTGCTGGAAACACAATCTGGAGTTTTCTTGAAGATGGTGGTTTTTGTGCGTCTTCCAACCTGCTGCATGCTGAGCACCTGACAGCGCAAAGCTTCTTCCCAAAGCTTGACCTGAACAACAAATGCATGCCCAACTGGGCTTGTCAGTGTTGACTCACAAGCCCAAAGTGCATCGTGCTGGTCAGTGAGAGTGAAGTTGCCTTCCGCCTTGGGCATACTGTAATCAAAATTATATCCTCCTGCCTCCCTCTCATCTGGGAAACCTTCCGAGGATGAGTGAACAACGATAATGATGCTGTAGTGCTCCCGAAAATGACGCTTGTCACCAGTGGTTGGTGTCAGGGCGTTTATATATATATATCTCTGTACAGCAGACCTGGTGCCAGTTCCCTCGGAAGAATAAGAAGTTGGGTGAACTTCTATAGAGTTCTTGGGTGAACTTTGCAGGGCCATTAACTTGCCCGGCACAGGTCTTTTGAAAACACTCTGGCCATGGAGAAACTCAAACAGCAGTACACCGGACTGGTGCGAAATTGATGGCTGCTGGTAAACAACATCCTTTGCTACTAGTAGCTTCTTGTTTCTAGTAGTACGGCCAGGAGCCCCTAATAGCGTCCTTGCTCCTAGTAGTAAGGCCAGGAGCCCCTAGTAGCGTTCTCGCTCCTAGTAGTAAACAACATAAATATCAGGCGAACTTTGTGGTTCGGCACCTTGCTGCACGCGCTGATGGTGGCACTCTGCGCGAAAACGTCGGCATGTCGCCAGGCCAACCTGGGTGGGAGAGTGGCCGTTGTCCCGTTGATTCCTACGGTGCAAGCAGCTTGCCAAGATTGATGAGTTGTCAAGTTGTCATGTTTTCAAGCGAATTTGGGCGGGTCGTTGTGGCTTGTTTTGGCACCGGCGATGAGCGACCTCCCAAAACCAACCCGTGCTAGTCCGACCGTCCTACCATGTCCTACCCGTGCTGGTGGACACAGGTGGGTGATTCGGCTACAGTCGTGCAACGAGCTACGGTACATACTGCAATGCTCTGGATGTTTACGCATCAGTCCATCATGTTCCATCTACATATCCACCTTCAACTGATGATCTGCTCACTTTTATTGGTACTTTGCCGTGATCAAATTTGTTTATAACATTTTATAACTATTATGTAAATTGGAGAAACATGGAGAAACAACAACAAAACAACAGCAGGAAGGCAAGCTGTGGATCGTATCGCGACTTCTCTGTTCGCTTGGCTTCGTCAAGCACGACCTCCGCACAAAGGCCCCTCGCAGTGAAAGTGCTTCTGCCCAGGCAGAACCCTTCTCACAGGCCTGCACCCACATGCGACGAAACAAACCCATACTCAAATAATCTCAAATATACTCAATTGATCTCAATTGCATCGAAGGATATGGGAGGCAATTGAAAGGCACTGTCACTGGCACAGTACCTCTCTCTCTGTATTGATACAGTACCTCTCTCTCTCTCTCTGTCACTGGACATTCGAGGTCTCCGACACAATATCGGTGTTCAGTTTCAAAGGCACAGGTGGTCTAAAGAACCACGGAACATGCCTACAATGACACAAGCAATGGGAATACCTTCAACATTGAGATTAGGGTCTAGGCTGTGTCCAACAGCCGAGATGTGCAACAAAGGAACAAGCGCTAGCAGCTTTTCGGATGAACCAAATCCAATCATCAAGCATGATCAAACTTTGAACATTTTTGAAGATGAATCCATCCCGAACCCTCTAATCATTGAGGTAAACTATATCCACTCCCGGTTGGGCGCACGCTGAGCAAGGAGTTGATGCTGGTAGCATCGCAGCGAAGCGAGGCCGTGGTCTGAAGCGTCTGGCAGCAAAGGCACACACCCTCACATTGACATCAAATCCATCAAAATGTGCATCTCATTTGTTATGGATATCAATCTCTCACACAGCTCCACAATTCACCTGGAAGCTCTGCAAAGCGTCTCTCCAAGAACTCGCGCTGAGGACCTCTGCCGGAATCCCAGTTGGAGTTAAATACCAAGATCCAACCAGTGACCCCCCTATTCACGACACCCTATGATAGACTAAGATGCCTTCAAGCATACAGGTATGCGAGCCTATCTTGAGGTAATCTAGATAGCATATGGACAGTACTGATATCATACTCAGCGAGTATGAAATGCCGCTTTGGCATACATGAGAGGTGTACACCTGTCCAATGCCGGCAAGCTGACTGGCCAGTGTGAAAGTCTGAACTCCGAAATCCCAAAGGCCCAAATGGGCAACGGCTTGCAAGGGCAGTCACACGGAATCGCACATCAGCCAGGTGTGCGTGTCTGTGTGTGAATAATCGACATTCAGTCACAGTATTCCCATACAATGGAAGACGTGGTCCTTAGTAACTGTTCATATTCATGTATTGATATATGCAACTACCAGTTGTGTTCTTCGATAGAGTGCCTCCCCCCCACACACTCGCAACCCAGAACTGACCAATGCCCACATCATCTCGTTACATTCATGCATGTGTTTCAGGCTGCAGCTGTATTGAAGCTGATGATGTCCGCTGAGACCTCGCTGGACAGGACTGTGCAATGCATGTCCAGGGTCCATGTTTAAGTGCCCCAGGGACTCCAAGTAAGATAGCTGTGCCCCCACAATTGCGCCTTTGTTGGGGTTGGTCTTGTCAACAAAGCTGGTGAACCTTAGTAAACTCTTGTATCCTTTTGCGTTGTATGTGCATGCCACTCTTGGGATCAACAATCGTTTGAAAACGGTAGGAAAGAGAGCGAATCAAGGGACAGCTTTGATGGTCGCAAAGCACTACCCTAATTATAGTTAGCAGCACCAGCAAAGCCAGTCTGAATGGCAACCCACAATAGCTCTACTGTATATACATTCTATGCTGATGCCATTCCTGTTGCAACAAATGCAAGGCAAATTCACGAGGTGAGGTCAAGTCATGAGCAATTTACTATTTTGCTTGTTTGTCATTGTACCATATTGTACCGGAATGGCACCACAGAAGCAATGCACAGCGTGAGAACAGCACATCAGGCGCACAAACAAACCTGGGCCATCTGTGAAATGTGTTTTGCTGAAATTGAAATGGACAAGCAGCAACAACGGGCATATAAACAGCAACAAAATGACAAATCATAATCTGATTCCCCCGACTCCAAGGCTATCACACCCAATAGTTTGGTTTCTGCCAAGCTTGCAGTGGCATACCTGGCGGCCATGGCCCACACTTCGAGACACATGCTGGGGTTTAGGCCCTAGACAACACAACTGGCTGAGTCCCACAGATTTTGGTACTTCTCCGTGTTGCATGTGTTGCCATGGCGCAGCGGTTGAGTCATTGAGTGTCGACACAGCTTTCCGCATGTGTCACACAATTGCATCGACAAGCTGTCGACGCCAGCGCCTCCATGCACCTGCCCTCTCAGCGGCGCAAATCGCGCAATTGTAGTGGAAAATGTTAACCTGATCACTGCAAGGCCAAGGCCAAAAGTCTCCCATCGCATTTCTTCGACCGTCAGCGGTTGAGCAAAACAACATGAGATCCCTAGAAATGCTTCGATGGTGCCACATCTGACACTGAAACCCCAAAGAAGGAATTCTGACATTGACACACCTGGTTAGTGGTGTTCTGCAGCAATCATAATCACAAGGAAATTGCAGCATGTTGGCAGTGAGTTTATGACTTGAAGAGGCATCAGCAAACAATGCCTCATGACTCATGACGAAAATACATGTTTGCAAGCAAGAAGTCTTGCAATATCCTCAGTAATGTTTGGCTTCAGAGTTGTTCCGTCTTCCGTCCTGCAAATGATTTTGTCGCAAGAGCCGCAGCAACAGTCTGGCACCGTGAAAGTCTCTGCCCTGCACCTAGGTGATTTGCTCTCCAAGATAGCTACGAGTTTGCTGGTTGGATGACTAAATGGATTGATCATCGAAGAACGCCCCAATCATGTTCTCATCGCTTGACTTTTTGGCGGGCAATGAATAATCGTGCTGAAGTGTGTTGCAAAGAATCAACATCTCAACAAATAGTGATCTATGGTGATCTACAGCCATATGGGGAGGGAGTCAACATGTCAAGCACCTCCAGGGAGTTCGACAAACAAATTTGCACATTCGGAGAACAAAGGGTAGCGATCCTACACTACTACGGATTCATTGGTCTTTCTGCCCCATTCCACCACCGTGACTGAGGACTGCGGTGCATGGACCCCCAACGGCTTGTTGAGTTGCAGTTGTTTGAGAAAACAAATCGACGATCAAAATAACACATAATGTACTGTATATTATAATACATATATATACACATAATTACATATACTACTACACATGTCTACACATACTGTATAAGCGTTCTAGAATGATGCCACAGGGTAGAAGTATAGAAGCAAAGGTCAGATCCTGACGTCATGGGACATTGAGTGCATGACTGAGCAAATTGTCAAGCATCTTTCCGAGTTTTGGCTGAGTTTGGAACTGGAACTTTCTCCCCACTTTCCTGTAGTTCACACCGTTTGCAAATAAGGGCTCGTCCCAAATCCAAGAGGCTTTGGTGTATGATGGTCCATGTATATTCAGCTCTCTTGAATCGTTCTGTTGGCTGAGGCATCAACCCAAACCTGCAATAGCTCAGTGAGGAGGCTCGGCTGTGCTTGCAGCCTGACCGTGGCACGTGTTGGTTGAAATATTCCACAATGTGGGAAGTGCCCACATGTGCGCATCGTGAGTGCCCGTTGCAGCTCCTCCCAAGCAGGCTCCCAAACTAGTAGCGGGAGCCATGGACATCAAGATATCGATGGAATGTCGAAGAGGGCATTTCGGTTCTCACTAGACTCGACCTGGTCGGAGCCTATCGGCGCCCACCGTCCCTGGAAAAGCGACTACCCGAAGGGGTTGTTTGTGGATATAACTGCCCCGCCCATTTAAGTACCACCCACGGCCACCATGGGAGCACGACCGAGCCCCATCCTCCCGGAAAAGCAGCTCAGTGAGAGCCACAACTCCCCACTGCTGCGCGAGAACCAAAAAACGACACACCTAAACAAGAACACCGAACTGAATCAAACCGACCAGCAACTGGCCAGCAAAGTAACCGACTCTGAACTGAACAGACATGAACATCAATTTCGGCAAAACCAATCGAACCATGCGTAACCAACCGAACCGGAGGTATACTGTCTTTAGGAGAACCAGGGAGAACCTGTAGACTCATGGCTCCATCGGAAGCAACTTCTGCGCAGGACGACTCCGCCTGGGCACAAGCGGCTGAACTGCTCTGCTCGCTTCCTCCTGTCACGTTCACATGGTGTTCAGAGCTGTGCGAGACCGTGTTCCAGTAAAGGCAGATTCTGCTGACAAAAACTACAGCCAAACAGCACAAGATTGAATGCTGTGAAACAGACTCCCAAAGAATGCCAAGCTGTCAAGTAGCACCATGCGTCAATCATTCAGGCTTAGATGCTGGTTTTCCCCCCACAGGCAAGATGCAAGTCGTAGAGAATCTCTGTCCAAAAGTGTTGAGCCATATTGAATCGGTTCTCACAAGAACCTGAAGACTCAAGAATAACACAAAGCAGGGTTTGAACATAGTAAGGCTGCTCCCTTGCATTGAAAGATCATAAGAGCCTACAGCTAGAAAGAAATACAGTATCAAGCGACAGGAGGCGGGGGCAACATGTCTGTTTTTCCAGTTTGACGCTGCTTTGCGACAGCAGGAAAAAAGACACGACGGGATACAAAACGCCTTTTTCCCTGACTTGCGACCTCCATTGTGGTCGGATCTCAGGCCCATTTCCTGACTCGTGCCCGTGCTGCACTTGCAGGCTGGGTCGCCATCATGATCCTGTGGCATTGTGAAATGGACATTGCACAACTAAAACTAATACTCAACATTGTTGCAAGGCTCATTGACACCACCAGAAAGATCTATTTCTGCAGCACCTTCCATCTGAAGCCTTGCATAGTCGTTTCATACAGGACTTCTTTGCCAGTGAGCCTGTTGCAGCCGAGAGACTCTTTAAACGCCTCTGATTTCCTCAGCCAAGAGGAGTCACGAGGAAACCAACCAGTCCAGAAGCATCGAGAAGCTATCGTTATTTTTCATATTATATAATGTATTGATGGACAAGTCAAGTCCGAGACCGCAGCACTATATCACTGCATTCATTCTCAACTGGATGAGAACCGCTCGTAGGATAATAATACTGTCTTGATGCAAGGCTTGGTCGCACTCCAAAGGCTTGCAGGTCTTCAAGCTATTGAAACGAATACTGTAACAACAACAGGTCTTGTTGGTTGACCAGTTGTATATAGTTCAGTTTTGAATCTGGCAGATTCAGCTTCTGCTCTGCCAAGATGCTGGAGGGAATTGAAATCCTTGAGGCTCCAGGTAAACTCGAAGCCTTTTTTCCTGAGCTTAATGTTGGTAAACATCCTTGGAGACACCTTAAAAACAAATGCCTTTCTAGAGGAACCAACATGGCACAAGAACACTTCAGGCTCACAAGCAATGTCTCGCAGGTGAATGACCAATGTCTCCGGGGCTCCGTGGGTTGTGGGCCACATAGTTGCATGGTCCGCAGTTGATATATGGATCGGTTGCCTTAGTCGCGCAGTAATCCGCCTTCAAGAGATGGCGGTGTTTTGGAACAAACATAAACAAACAGGATACCAGTAGATCCAGTAGTACACACGTAGAAGTTGGATGAACATGGGTTATAGCCGTAGGCAAAAGGAAAGACCATAGGCTTGGACTGGCAACAGGAATGGGGTTCGAGTCAGGGTACAGTATCCCTAGTCCCTAGTTGTTAGGAGCTGGGCAAATTAGTATATCAATGGCGGTTCTCATTGTTGTACTGTTCATCCATGAAGTCTAGAGGCCATGCTCCTTGTTCAGTCTCCACCCCGTCTCTGGACAAGCTGCACGAGGTCGGATGAAAAGGATCACTTGCCTGGAGAAAGCTGCAAGCATCTGCAAGCTAAACAACAACCTCACAGGCAAGCTAAACAACAAAACTGCGCATGCATGCTACAAAATGGTACCTATCCTTCCGACCAGGAAAGGGGAGGCCGGCCTGGGCGAGCCAATCTTGGGAAATGAGTCATATGGCAGTGGGGCTGCGTGTCAATTAGCAAAAAAACACTTAGCCAGGGTACGTATCCCGCTTCAACGACAGCAAGCGCTGGACAATTGGAGAGCGCTCGGTGGGGTTTGCACCACCAACGTACCAGGAGATGTGTTGGCCTGGCGGGAAAAGCTGGTGGCTTTACGGACACAAAAAGCAGCCGGTGCTCTATGCAAATCCTGACCTCCTCGTAGTGGGATTTACCTTATACTTATACTAAGGTTGAAAAGTTAATTTTTCCATGAACAGTCATGAATCATTGAGAGCTAGGCCCACTATATCGCTTGCACAGCGCGTCATCGTCAAGTTCGTAAGGGACAGTGTTGTGTAATTATGCGTTCACAGGAAACCATGCAATCGGCTGCAATGCCTCCTTTGGCAAAGGCATTGTCAAACGAGCCACCCATGGCATTGACCCACAGGAAGATAGCCTCATACTCAGCTAAATGAGGACCCAGCAAGCGCTTCAAGCACGACATGTCGCATGTTTGCATTCATGACGGTGGTGATGAATGAAGACAAGAGAGTAGACAGTTGATGACAGTTGCATAAGACTATCATATGTACACTCACAAGTGACAGGCAGCTTGTGCGGTTGCAAACAACACGTCTTATCCTCTTCATACACTCGCACTAATTACAAAATATATGATCGATAGCCGGCTCTTTCGTCTACCTACCTTATGGAGATTGATATGATATAGCATGATATAATGGCCATCACTCGTGAGCAATCTCTTCGTGCTATGGAGCGTTGCGCCACTCCACCCAGCCCGCGTATTTGTTGAAGCGTGGAGGTGCCCAAGTTGCAGGCCGTGCAGCCCCCGAAGGCGCATCGCCTGGACGTCATTCGAGTCTTCGGAATGTGTTTCAACCTAGTCGTGAATTTGCGAAGTCCCCAGTAGCGTCCTTCCTCCGTTCGTAGCGATGCCAGAAGCCCCTAGTAGCTTCTTGCTCCTAGTAGTAAGGCCAGGAGCCCCTAGTAGCGTCCTTGCTCCGTTAGTAGCGATGCCAGGAGCCCCTAGTAGCTACCTTCTTCCTCCTAGTAGTAAGGCCAGGAGCCCCTAGTAGCGTCCTTGCTCCTAGTAGCGATGCCAGGAGCGCCTAGTAGCTTCTTGCTCCTAGTAGTAAGGCCAGGAGCCCCTAGTCGCGTCCTTGTTTCTAGTAGCGATGCCAGGAGCCCCTAGTAGTAAGGCCAGGAGCCCCTAGTAGCGTCCTTGCTCCGCTCATAGCGATGCCAGGAGCCTCTAGTAGCTTCTTGCTCCTCGTAATAAGGCCAGGAGCCCCTAGTAGCGTCCTTGCTCCGTTCGTAGCGATGCCAGGAGCCCCTAGTAGCTTCTTGCTCCTAGTAGTAAGGCCAGGAGCCCCTAGTAGCTTCTTGCTCCTAGTAGTAAGGCCAGGAGCCCCTAGTAGCGTCCTTGCTCCTTGAGGAAAAAAGTAAGAAAAAAGGTTGAGGAACCTAATAGCGATGGCCTCCAACCATGTCAACTTGGGAATTTGGGTCCCCTCATCACAGGTTGGGTGTCGATACTAGGATGTATATTATTATATATATGTTCAACCCAACAAGACAGCAGTGACTCAGCAGTGTGCCTCAAACTTCGACTGTGTGGTTCCCATGCAATTATATACTTACCCAAGGTTTGGCAAAAGTACACCTCCTCGCTCTGCAAAGAACTCCACCACGCCACGCTTGCCAAAGTGCGGGCAAGCTTTGCCTGTGTCTACACTCCAAACAACTGAACGGGGCTGCTGCGTTGGCATGGGGTCATCTTGTTTTGAGTTGACATCCAAACGACAAACTATGCCGCAGTCCGCCTCCTACGTCCTAGGTCCTACACGTTCTTTTGGCAGTCTGAACTGTTTGTCCCTCTGATTGTCTGACGCTCAGTGTCAAACCGGCATTGGCAAGCTCTTCACGCTCTTGAGCATGCTTGAGAGAGGAAACATGCTGTATACTCTGCATACATGTCCATTTACCTTCTAGAACCATCATGTTCCCAGCCGAATCGGCACACTTGGTGCAGACTGAACAGGAACCACACCTCCAATGCCACAACAGAAGCACAGCATGCGCCAACAAAAACACAAACGCGATTGTGCGGTTCAGTATGGTTCAGTAAGTGGTTCTGGCCTCGGAATCTACGGAGAGCACTGAGATCTGCCTGCACATTGACAGCTTTCACCCAAAGTTGTCAAGTTTCCTGTCAACATCTTGTACCCTCACATGGAATTTAGTCTTCTCCTGCAAGACGCAACAGAGTATATATACTTGAAGCGCTGTATCAGCCTATTGTTCAACAAATGCATGGCAGGGAAAAGTAATCAAAGCACGACAAATTGATCAAAGCATGATATGAGCACACTAAGTGCTACCATGGCAGCATCAAAGCAGCATGTTCATATTGTGGGAAAATAATTCTATTATATATATATATTTCGACTCATCACAACCAACAGAGTAAACATACACAGTGTCTTCTCATCTCAGATGTTCACATAGGAGCACTGTGCCTTAGACAAAATCTGATGGACAAAACACAGAACATCTTGCGCTACATGGTTGGTTCCAAGCTGTTAGGAGACATTTGGACTAGTTGGCCCACCAAACATTGTGGTTCTGTCTCTACGTGTCTCCGCTTCTGTGTCTAGCTCTGGGGCCTTCAGCAGCCTGGTGGAGGCGCCTGTGGCCGGACGTTGAAGCAGAACTTCCTGAAGGCGCCTGTGCAGCGAATGCTTCGGTGTGTGGCAAATGATGTTCTCCCAGGCCCAAACGGCCAAAAGGTACTTGTCGCGTAGACTTAGACATACAATAGACGAGATCATAGAGATACATAGCGTCACAATGCGTCACAAGCCTAATGCACTTCTCCTTCATATTATATAGATATATGAGGGATTCGAGGTAAACCAAAACCAAAAGCGTCCTGTCTAAAAGCTTCCTTTTGAAATTGCCGTTCATGCCGTGCACGCCAGCGATCGAAACCACATGCTCGGCCAGGGGCGGTCGAGCAAGGCCATGCTGCGTGGGAGCGAAGGGCGGAGCTGGCGGTGAGCGCCAGTTCCGGCTCGACAATGTTCCACATCATCAAAGGGTTCAAACACTCCCCCCCCTCACTGTGCCATGGACATTTCTAGATTGTTTCCACAACAAGATTACAAATAGTAGATATTACAGTATGAACATTCCCCCGGTTTCTAAAAGCTTCCTTTTGAAATTCCCCCCTGTGACCTCAGTATGGACGGTCACGGTGATCGCCGCCTGACCTGGAGTCTCCATCTCGGGAAGACTGCACTCGCCGCGCGGTCTTCGTGGTCTGCGTGGTCTTCCCCATGGCGCCACCGGGATGAGTGTGGAATGCTTGATGAGTAATTCTTGGGACTGTTCTTGTGTAATGATATTCCAAGGACAGTTCCTGAATGCTATCTGTAGAGATCTCCAAGGACAAAAGGTTCTTGACTGTATTGCAATGCCTGAAGCTTGTGAACCCTGTCTTTGTCGTTTCTCCTTTATCTTTTCGTCTCTGAAACTCACGGAACCATCCGGCTTTTCACTCGGAAAAGCATGGACAAGCTGAGCTAAACAATGCCAGCCGGAACGACTTCCTTTAGAACAACCTCAATATGTTCCACGCAGAAAAAGACCACTAGTGCACCATAGTGCACCTAAGTAGCAAAATGATGCAAACGTTTAGCTGAATGAGGCATCGTATCGCATGGTTTAATTGTTTCATCACATCTCGCCGCAGTAGTAACAAGTGCCACGCTAGTAGTAACAAGTGCCACGCTAGTAGTAACAAGTGCCTTTAACATATATTAAATTACTAGTAGTAAATTTTATTGATGCTGTCAGGTTGGAGGCCATCGCTCTTAGGTTGGAGGTCATCGCTTGGAGGCCATCACTAGTGGGTTGGAGGTCATTGCTATTAGAAACAAAGAAACAAAAAGGAAGGTAACATATAGTTTGCTATTCATCCCGATATCTCAAGACACACAGCCCTCAAGAAAGCCCTCCTCCGGCAGCAGCAGGGCCTGTCTACAACAGCTAAGATAGCCATAGCGAGATTTGAGTTTTGGAACAGTAAAAAAATAGCAAACAAAGCGCAACAATGATCAGATTGTTCTTATATGATATGTTTGTTATTGTTTGTTGCCTCCATACTTTGCACATGGAAGTTCAAGAAAACCAAACACCTGTATCTCTGTATCTCCGTGTCCGAGGTCCTTGGTCTCAGAAAAGTTGCCTCGGTACAGTTTGTGAAACAAATGTTGTCCGGCAAAGGGCATCGCTACTTACTAGGAGCAAGGACGCTACTAGTAGCTCCTGGCATCGCTACTAGTAACAAAGAGCATCGCTACTAGGCTTTACCCTCCTGGAACTTTCGCTGAACTGCCTGCTCGATAGAGGCCGCAAGGGCGTTGGGCATGGCGTGAAAAGCATCTGGAATGTCATCTGCAGCTGGCTTCCGCGTGGGGTTGTTGTGGCTCATCCATGTATAGACATAGCAGATCTGAAAGCTAGAACTTGGGGCCAAGTGGAAAAGGGCCATTTGGATCCATTTGTATTTGGGCTTAAGATGATCGGATCGGTTGTTTGGAACCGCTTAACAATATCTTGTACTACTTCAATCTACTTCATACAGGCATCATGTTTGCACGTCTTTGTCTCCGAAATTGACAGGAGCTCATGCACTTTCCGCATGAATCAATGGAACAAAGCAGCTACAAACATGGGAATAGAGGCAAAGCTGATTCGGAGCCTTTGTGTTTTCATGTCCTTTCCATCTTCCCTCAAGTGAAATGCTCTTGCTAGCAGTAATCTTGCAGACTTTCGAGACAAATCCAAATGAACTGGTTCATCGTTGATCTTGTCAATTTCAGTTCCTTCTTCTCTGAAGTGAGCACAGCTGCTACTCGAGATCCACAAGAACTCCAGCTACAACCTCAAAACTTGTGCAGCCACTTAATGTACAGCCATACCGTCTAGCAACACAGTGTTTCATGGGGCTCATGGATTTGTGATTCACATCCAGTGCATCTCTTCAACCTACTACGCAGGGCACTGGAAACAATAATAGCAACTACAATCTACTCTACTTCATTACGGTCATCACTTCTACACCACAAAATCCCGAAACTCTGCCGTCAACTTCACGGAAAATGGCTTCGCGACCAGTTCTTTCAGCGCACGAATGAGAAGGGCGTGAGTAAGGCTGACGCTTCCGGCGTAGCGCACCTAGGCAAACTGTTGGCAAACATGATGTTCAACAACAAACTGAAGACATCATTCTGAAGACTATAGCATGAAATTGAGGCAAAAAGGCATGCTCCAAGCGACTGGTATTTGATCTGATTCCTCCCGGTGATTGAAATTCATCCCATTGTACCAATCAAATTACATGCAATTCCTGTGATATTACGAGGCCACCAGCAAAGTGTCCAAAAGCTTGGCTCCCTGGGAACTGGAAATCCATCGGTCCATTGACCTCTTACTGGATCGACCGAGTCAAGTCTCAAAAGGGATACGAGACAATCAGGAACATAAAACAAATAACCAAGGTTATTGCTTGCGCCTTCGATGACTAATGGGATCTCCCACTGCAAAGAAACTGCTTGCACAGTCATGAACATGATTGATACTTTCAGCGACAACCAGGCGCCCATATAATAGAATAATATATATATATATATGTGTGTGTGGCCCCCCTTTTGATTTTGAACCTAGTATCGCTCTCGCTGTAGTGCCGTACAATATGTGACTATGTGCTACGAAGAACCTTTGTTTGCTTTCCGCTAAAAAAAAGAAAGGACTGAGTCTCAGGGTTCAGTCCTTTCATGTCCTTTCTCTATTGTTTGGCTATCCTCTATAGTTTGGAGATGCTTCAGGCCCTTGTCTTTATTTGTATTAACTCCAAAGAATATCCAGGGATGTGGTTGTTTTAGTGAGTTTGCTCTTGATATATTTTTCCGTTTTCCTTGAAACACCTACCACGTCCAAACTCTAGAGTTCAGTCTTTTTGTCTTGAAGACTTGCTGGGCATTATCTCGCAAGTTTATTGTATTGTTTTTTAATGCTATTCAAATCCTCTTCCAGTTTTGGCTATCAAAGTTGTCGGTGCTTAGCTCCACTTTAGCTCCACTTATGGCGGCCATTGGCATCGCATGACGGCTGGTGCTGCTCGTCGGATGTGCCTCTGGTGTCTTGCTTCTTAGGCGAGGAACTGTCCCAGGAGCGTTGATGCAAGTTCGTTGTCTTTGCCAGGAATCGTTTTTGCCAGGAATTGCCAAACATCCCCAAATCATAGCACTTCTTTCATGTGTGGGCTCAGGGGAAGGTAATAATTTATGCATGGCAGGCACGGGTGTGAGATGTTCCCGGAAGAAGGTGCGGGGCAATTATTGCCGGCAGCACTACAACGAAGCAGCTTCAGACACTACAAAAGAGACCTACTTCCAAGAGATGCAACATTTGTTTGAGAAATTTTAAGAATGCCAAGGCCAAGTGGGAACAGGATCAGTTAGACCTGGCTGTCGCGCAGTCCTTGCAAGAGAGTGAGGAGCAGCGTGAAAAGCGAGCCTTGTCAAATTAGACGTGTGGAAATACGTCTTCGGAATGAAGGCTTGGGGACTGGAGGCGATTGCATGTTTGTGGCAATTGCATGGTCAGCAGGCATACCAATCGACCCGTTTGCTGTCAGGCAACAGGTGTGTTCCTATTTAGCATTCCCTCAAATGTTTTCACTTTGGTTCGGTACAAAGTGGCCCTCCTGTGAATCATACCTTCAAGCTTTGAGGCGACCAGGTGTTTGGTGAGGCGATTTGGCTTTAATGGCCATGTCGCATCTCCTTCTCCGCCCCATACATTTCGTGACCGATCGGCCATCTTTGGATGAAGCCCTCTTCGTGGTCGAACCGCCTTTTCAGATTAATGCACAGGCTTGGGGCCCTCCAATATGTATATATGTTTTCTTGGATTCAACCACTACGAGGCGACGCAAGCGATCGCTTCGCGAAGCCAAGCAAGTGTTCCTCCTTCAGTCTCTGTGAAGTCAGAGACTAGTTGAGGATATAACCTTGTTCTGCTCGATCAAAAACTCCGGAGTTCAGTCGCTTGCAGGGTTTAAAGACTGATCTGCAAAGTTTAGTCTCGGTTGTACATGAACTCCTTTTTTGGGAGAAACTACCTCCAGAGTTAAGTCTTTTGAACTCTGAGTGTCAAACGCTTCCCTAAAAAAAGAACTATAATGAACTATATATATATAGTGTTGAGCGTATAGAACGTGCACATATCCTCTATGTGATGCTGGTCGCTGGTGAGGGCCCAAAAATAAAATGAACAAATAGGTATAAATACCTTATTTTGCAAGCAACATAGAAAGCTCTGAACCTACAGTAGGTCTTGTGTCGACCTTTTGATCAACTACCAAACCTGTGGCTTACCACGGTACTCCAAGGCTGCAACCTACGAGATTGTAAGACTACTAGAACTAGACCCCAAGGACCGCACGCGATGCCATTCCCTGGCCGTTGAGCTGTTTGCATTCTCATTCCGCCGCTACTTTGTGCTTCACATGCATCCAAAATAGGAACATTAACGTGCAAGCAACGAAAATGGCCCTAGCAGCACAAGTGCCGGCACCAGCACCAACAGCTCCAAATACAATAACCTTACAATGCACAACCATCTATTGCGCAATGCCTGATCAAATAGAAATTCTAGTGGAACAAACAATGAACAATGGATATGAGGCGCGCCTCTGGCAGACTTTGGCCAGAAGTCACCCATGGTCCATTTGCCTGGGCGCGAGCTCTGCGTTTTTTTCTTAGCGCTTCAAACTCCCGCGCGAACTCACAGGTGCTGCGTTTGACTGGTCTATAGAGTGGAGAATTGGAGCAAGGATGTTCAAAGGATAAGTAACGAGCAAATGGAGATCAATCACCAGCAAAGGCTAGGAAAACATCGGGGCCAGTTGTTAATAGTCAATTTTGCCAAAGGAGATGAGACGAGGCGGGACGCCAAAACAACCTGTTGGACCTGAAAGAGAATGGGCAAGATCCAAATCCCAAGCTCTATATGTTATTATATATATATTTATTCAACAAATTCCAACACAAATCCATCATATCTTTGATATATTGATCATGATTGAACATTTTACATGTTACATCCATCTCTGGTTTGAGCTGCTTGTCTTCGCTGCTTCGCTCCATGGACCCTATTTGCGAAGAAGAATGCAACGCCTGGACATGTCAGCTATATATTCATTTCTGCCATTGTCCTGACATGAGAGATCCCAAAATCAGTATGTCAGTCAGCTGGTCCATTTGCTTGCCTGACCCCTAGTGGATCTATCTGAGACCTCGGCTGTTCCTCTTGGGAGCTCGTGCCGCGGACCTGTCCAGGAGTCGTCGAATCACTTGAAAAGCTTACAGCCTACAGCTTACTGTAATGAAGTGACGGGAAAGAACGGGGCAAAAACAGGTGCATGCCCTTGTCAAGGTGACAGAAAAGTCGCTCCTGTCGCAGAAAGAAGCGAACTGGAAACATTCACAACACCGACAACCGACAGTGTCGACCTCGAAAACCATCTCCCTCCGGGTCGATTCCATCTGTGCCTGCTGCACCGCACGCTGGGCGGCTCCAACGGTCCGCCCGAGAAGTCCAGCTCGAAAAGGCTGCTTTCTCCATCCCCATCCCAGGCCTTCGCCGCCGTGGCGCGGAACCGAGAGGGCCACCGAGAGCGACCCTGGACCATCCTGGAGCCCAAGAAGACCAGAAAGAAGGATTGATCCCCATGACACAAACATCCAACAAGTACCATGGGGGCAAGTCTTTGGACTGCCAAACCCCGTCGTTGGATTGACAACGGGGAAACAACAAACAGCACCTAGCAAAACCTTTCATGAGTGGAGTCGCCTGAAGGCGACTGGAGGACGACAAAACCTGGAGGTCTTCCTATTCAGCGACAATGGTTTTTAGATATAGTTAAACTTTTTTTGCATCGGTGCACTCGTTGTTTGCGGCCCAAATCCATGCACTGACAAGTTTACCCAGCACAAGACGCGCGATATCTTTTTGGAATCTCGCATATCCCTTAGTCCGGAAGGCGGCAACTAGACTACAATTTTCAAAAATAAGGCGGCATTCGTATATCATTCGTGCATCGTATCAAACACCTGGCTGAAGGTCATCACAGGGGGGGGTAGCGGGGGTACCGGGGGTACGATGATTGAAACTCGCAAAGCATCGTTCCTTTGCTGCAGCAAACTTGCTGCTTGAAAATAGTAGTGGGTTGGTAAGGAGAGTATTTCATCACAAGGAGAGTACATAGCCCAGTTTGGAGTCCCATGTGGCTTCGAGATCCACGGCGGGCAAATTGTCCATATCAAGGTATCCTTGGATGATACTCATGGCATATGTATGTTTCTTGGCTTCTTCCTGCAGGCGCTTGTGCAAGTCCGGGCCACCCACGGTGAACATTTCCTCCACCATTTCCTTGATCTTGTCTCGGGTTTGTTTCCTGGGACGAGGCGCAGACCTGGCAACATGCGACAGGTGGCAAAAGCCACATGACCGGCCATTGGCACATCCTCGCTTTGAGGTGAAGAAAAGGCAAGGTTCGCAGGTTCCATCGTTATGCTCCTGCGTCATCTCGAGCCCTTCATTCAAGAAGCCTTCCCCATCGATGAACAAGCCAGTGTGTTCTTCATCGTTCACTGGGCCAAGCCATGTCGAAGCGGAGGAAGTTGTCCCCAAGTCACCCTTCACGGCCTCATTGTCACTCGCCATTGCCACTTTCTTTTAGCTCTGGTCAACGCCTGGAAACATTGATGGGCAAGCCCTGTCAGGCGATATCGATCTACCCTTGAGCCGAGCAAAAAACATGTGGTGCATCCATTCAGTACAACTGACAAGCAACTTGGACATTGCGGTGTGGTGTGATGCAAGTGCAACAAACTAGCGTCCTCAACTCATGGATGTGTTCTGCGAAACGCTTCACTATACATCATCCTACATTACGTAAATTAAATGCAGCTTCTACAATAAAGTCTGAAGAATCTGTCAAGTTTCAAGCTTGACCGCCAGGACTCCAGCAAAGAAACCACATGTCTTCTGGCTTGCCTCCTCGGAACATGCCAAGAAGAAACAGAATCGGTGTAATTAATGTTCACACTCAGAATATCTCAGCAGCACGTCCGTTTAGGTCAGTCTGGGGGAACGCCTAAACTTCATGATTCCATGCCTTGATTCCAGGAACGGAATGTAGTTCATGTAGTTGATCCCTATCCACAAGAACAACCCCCACCAGACTGTTTTTTTTGTTGCATCTGGAGATCAAATGCCTCATGAAGACACTGGGTTCCGCCCCGTGGGATGGGCCCATCTTGGGCACAAGACTTGGGATCCGCCCAGTGCCACCGGTGTTTGCGGTCTCCGGAGCTCCTAGTAGCTTCTTGCTCCTACTAGCTTCTTGCTCCTAGTAGCGATGCCCTTTGTTACTAGTAGCGTCCTTGTTCCTAGTAGTAATGCCAGAAGCTACTAGTAGCTTCTTGTTACCAATAGCGATGCCACTTGTCACTAGTGGAGACTCTCCTCGAAGGGAACGACTTGGTACATCGGCGGCCTCAGCCGATTCTTTGGTCAATCTCAACACTTGATACTTGTCCTTCCTCCCACCAGTGAAAGGATCAGGTTCTTATAAATTTCTGAACAACAAATAATGCAATAGTAATATCAAAACACGAGACGTTGAACACTGCAGCTAGTTGCAGTTAAATGTCAGGACACATGGCTGCAAAGAAATATGCAAACGACGTTCTTTGCAAATGTCAGCTTCGGGACATTTGCAGGCCCCGTAAGGTGGCCAAACGGAAACTTGCTTGTTCACTCAGATGTACCCAACCCCAGATCACCTCATCTGATTACAGAGTCGTGCTGGACCAGCACTTCTGAAGCTGCTTCCTGAGGTTTCCAAAGCCAGAATTTTTGCCTATACTGCGAGTACAAATGCTAAACCACGTTGCGCATCGCTCCGCTCAAGCTACCATCATATCAGGCTATGCATGCAAGCCTCGAGTCAAATTGAGTCTGAAAGACTTGCCTGGACTTGTACACGATCTGAAGGACAGGTTGCTCATGAAAAGGAACTGCAAACTTTGCAGTTTACTATATGCGCGCAAAATTTCAGATGTATTCAGGCCAGCTGGAATCCTGGAATGAACCACACAACATACGGACAAGGATCTGTGCGCAAAGATTGATATAAAATCCATGAACACCATTGGAACACCTTCTCAGACCTGGCTTCGGCCGCAGAGCAGCGTGTCAAGGCTCCCAACCGCGGCGAAAAATCCATGACCAACCGCAGAACCGCCATCTGCGGAAGGCTCGACCTTGCCTCAGCTCCGCCGAACGATGTGCACCCCAGAAAATTCACATGTTCAAAACACAACAGGAAAATCGTTCCAAAAAAGGTGTTGACAAACTCTCTACTCATCGACATGAGTTGGGGTTGAAAACGAACAATGTTGCATAAACCACGAGGACCCATCTGTTGTTCATTTTCCAGACGTGTTTTTTTGTTGTAATATCCAAAGAATATGAAAATGGCATCGTTGTTCCAGGAATATGCACATCACACACACAGAAAAACATGAAAAAAAATCCCGCCCAAAATTGTTTGTTGCTTTTGTAGTTCAAGCAACACCACTGTAAACATTACAATGTCTCCTCAATATGAAAACAAACAAATTGAACCTGTACAACGCCTTGTGCAACGCGTCACCTTAAACACAACCATACATCTCTTTAGTAGATCAAACCGGAATTTTCACAGTTGTAAAAGAACCCGCCATTCTCACATGCAAGGACCACTGACACGGAGGGAGACGGCTCACAAAGGGGCTTGGAGGAAAGGGTTGTCTGAAAGGAAGAGCAGCACAACGCCCGGAATGTTTCAGTTGCTCCATATCTTAGTTTTGTATATTTTTGCTAGGTCTCAGCGAGGGACCCTTTGCCCTTCGTCGTTCTTGCTCAAATAGCACGAGTTTGGACAAAACTCGGGTTGGAACCGGTGAATGTTTTATTCTGAAAGGAAGTGATTTTGGAAGTCTAAAGGGAAAACGAACGAAACAGTAAGAAAATACATCAGGAAGGCTATGACAGATTATATAAACTATATAACCTGTTTGCATGCTGCAAGCTTTGTTGCAAACATGTACGTATACAAGTGCTGCACACAACTTGATGCCTAGCAACAAATTTCAATGTAGGTTCCATGCCCACTTGACCGATCATCTCTGAGTATTGTTTGCTGGTGCTAGGTCCTCCCCGCAACACACACTTAACAAGCTGTCCTGTGATCACCACAGCGCACGCCTACAAGGTAACCAGCTTGGGATCCGTGCGGCATCATCAACAAGCTTCAACTGCCTCGACAAATGCCGAAAGCAAATCGTTGGCCCGGCCCTTCAGCTCCAACAGGTAGCAGTTGAAAGGAATCTTGCTTTTGGGGCTACTAGTCTACTACTAGTAGCAAGAAGCTACTAGGAACAAGTGCATCGCTACGGATCTGCAGATCGTTGGCCCGAAGCACGTGACATTGATAGAACCATTCCAACTCGACCAATCGTCAGACGTCAACAATCTCCTACAACCGCCCTGGCGTTTGTTCTCGCGGCCGAAGCACAGGATCCGCGGCGGCCCTTTGTGAAAGCCCAAGAAGGCAAAAAGCTGTTCACCTTGCGCAGACAAGAGGCCACTCAGGCCACCGAGGTGATCCTCTTTGGTAATTCTCATCGCGTTTCACAAGAAGTGCCGAAAGTTCTGCCTGAAACATCATGGTCACATTGGGTGGGTGCTCGGATGTACTGTATCCACCAAGAGTTTTCCAAAAAAGGCCCTTGGACCATCACCACATCATCCATGGAGCCCCTCGCTTACACCGGACCCGAGGCACCGTCCGCCAGTACTGTAGCCCTCCAGATTCCAAACTCAGGCTGTTTACCTGCTCACTAACAGCCACCCGGTTATTAAACAGTAAGAAGCCCTACAACCTATAGCTCTCAGCATCTTTCAGCTATTGGGGTAAAACCAATTGATATTGCCGCGGGACATCCTTTGACTGGGCTTTGGTCATTCTGATTCATAGTTGGCTTTGTGAACGGATGCAACAGTGCCTGTCAGTGCCTGTTCAAACACGATGGCAATTGCCCAAGCAATGGAAGATTGATCATTTTCATACAAATCTTGGAGTTCAAAGCCTTCCAACTCCAATTCCCGAGGATTCCCCACGACCTGCAGCAGCTCTGGCGATAGGTACCCATTCTTTGGGCCTCCAAAACTGTCGACCCTCTCAACTGGAACAATGTGGCCAGTACAAGCGAGTATGCAGTAGGAATGAGATGTATCCAAGTTCCTACCTCAAGACCATTTCATATTCCACAGGAACTTTTCCATATTTTGCAAGACGCGTCTCCAGAACTTTTTCATTTGTCGGTAAGAATCAGAGGCACTACTTGAACCTACTAAGTATTCTGAACAAGGTTCTGCTGAATTGCATGGCCTTTGTCATGGCATTGGTAGGAACTGCTAGCCTATTTGTTTGTTGACAGCTCAGGGATTATATCAATAATTATTTATCAGTTGTTTCCTCTCGGTGCTATTTCCAGAAAAAAATGATTGTACACATTTCCACTATATAGTTGTTTGATTCATAAACATAGCAAACCGTAACTGGTGCATATTCTCTTAGCCCCATGCCTGAACGCCGTCTGTCTACTCCTCACCTAATGAATGTCATTCTACATATGCTACTTGTGCTCTGCTCTCGCATTTCCACTCTTGCCATGTGCGACAGCGGGCTAGCAAGCTGGTTTGCACATGAACGAACAATTTTCATATACTGTATACTACTATGACTAAACTCAACGATATCCTGACCCCGTCCCCATCTTACATCGCCCAACAAGCTATATCGTGATGACTCACAAGCATTAGAGTTAAAAAAGGAATCTAAAACGAACCAATGTGAACCAATGTTAAGCATCAACATCGGTACATTTTGTCATGGCTCCGACATCTTAAGGTGGTCTTTACGAATACACCAGGCCTTGGCCCCAAAGACCACCGGGCCTGCTTCCTGTGAGGCTCAGTGCCGAGAGCTGCTGGTGGAGCCTCAAACAGGCTTGGAGGATTGGCGAGACAGGAGGGGCTCATGTTGATTGTCGATTGGGAATCAATCATTTTATTGGGGAGTCTTGAGTAAAGTGATGTATGATTAACGAACGACAGTCAACCATCAGACCTCTTCTTTCCCCGATCAACCCGGGTGTTCCAAGAGGTCGGCTGAGGCCTGAACGGATATGTTCCCGAAGCCCTCAAGAGCGAGGTGAGAAATCGGAGCTCATCGCTACCAAGGAGCACTGGAGCGTTGGCTTTGGCCTGGGTTTGAACCCGCGTATGATTGATGTGAGACAAGGGAGATGAAGCACGACCAAAGCTGTTGCAACCAAACGATTCATCAATGCTCTTATATACATGTTCCAACCTTGTACGGGTCATGATCTTTGTATACATCCCTGTTGCAAAATATATAGGCTTATATGTACACGTGACCATTTTCAGCTACTGTAACTCCTTCCATGCTTTGCAGCAATGCCCCTGTTTTGCGGGCGCGGCACATGTGCAGCAACCAGCACCGGACTGTCCAGTCGGAGTGTTGCAACTACCTTTCCTCCAATGGCTCAAAGTCATCCCAAATTTAAATACCCTCCGAGTCACTAACATGATAGTGGAAAAAGGTGGGAAGACTGCTTTCCTCTACCAACCCGGGGGGTACACTTCCATGTGATGTGTTCGTGGGAGTGTTGTTTTTTTTTTGGCTTCTCCCCTCACTCACAAGGCTACACATGCGCATGAAAACAACTCCTTCTGCTGGGAGCTTGAAGGTTTTCAGAGTTACCAGAAAAAAGGCATCACGAACAAGTGACCGTTGACACAATCGGCTAATTACATTGTTTAAGTGACCTTCAAATTGTCTGCAATCTGGCTCTCCTGGGCTTCTCGGAGCCTCTTCCAAGCCCATCTGCAGCCAGCTCCAGTCATGCCTGACTCCCAAACAATGTGTTGCCCAATGAGATCCATTAAAACATCCAGGTGCTGAGACTGTAGCCTTCGGGCTTCCTTCCAGAAAGACAATAGACTCTTTCTTTGAACGCGACAACCTTTCGTCTTACCTCTTCAAGAGCCAGCGACCCAGTCGCCACTTCATGGAGATCCTCACCGATTCAATTGCACGAATCATCATCCCAAATCCCAAACTATATAACGCTTGCAGGGTCGAACCTGAGCGGAGACCCAAACGGAGTCTAGTCCCAAATTGAACCCTGAACACCATACCTCTGATGGACATACCATCTTCGGGTATTTTCATGTCCACCAACATCCAGCTTGTTTTCAAAGTGGTTTATATCATGATTTCCAACGTGATCATTTCTGGGCTCCCTGAAGATTCGTCGAGGTGGGCCCATTATTGAGAAGACTCGAGCTGACCCAACATTTTCACTGTCCCCCACCTCTTTGCGGGCAGCTGTAGCTTGTGAAGTGAAGTTGGTGGAGAACCTTCACCTTCAATGTGCACAAAGGCCAGTACCACAAAGTTCAACTTTCTGTATCTGCCTCCTTCAGGCCGCCTTCACAACCAGCCTTTTCTTGCATGGGCAATATCGACATCCAGCATGAATTCCAGTCCAGTTCGATGCCTCTCGTGATTTCGTTAGCATGCCCAATGAAGTGGCCTGGATGACCCAGACCAACCAAAACACCATCACCTGGGCACACATCAAAAGTAGGTCTGAGTCTGACTCGTGTTGCTTTTGTGTTCCTTCTTCCCATACCGCATGTCCCATTGAATGTGGTCATGGGACCCATGGGATATGCGGAACATGGAAGGTAATGGATATGCGGTGCTTATAGGATGTTGGAAAAAGACATGGACAAAACATCCAAGCCGCGGGCAAAGGTCCCAAAGCCATGCAGATGGCTGACCCAAGGGCCATGGAGGCGATTCCTGCGTTTCTTAGGTACATTGTTTGTTATCTGTTATCTGTTGAGTTTTACATCGTTTTACCATGCCGACTATGCTCTACTATGTGTGAAACGTCCCAGAATGGAGAATGGGGATCTACTCCAACAGTTGGAACAACGAAGCAGCTTCTTCACAAAATCACATTCATGTCTATTCAGCCTACGAATCCCAATGCAGCCGTGAGCACCTACAAACTTTGTTGCTTGAAAGCGCCTAATATCATCTAGAACTCTCACATTTATGCCAGGAGATGATCTCAATACTTTCTGGCTTGGGAATTCTTCTTGCTAAAGCATCAGGTAGTTAGACCACCCCAGGGACCCCAACCATGTTCTCAGGAGGTAGTAGGAGCCCTAATTAGGGATTAAGCCCACGCTCCCATCTCCCAACCTCCAGCGCTACGGTGCTGATGAGCTCCAGGGTCCAATCCAGCAGCAACAGGCTCAAGCGCCGCATCCATCGTTGCTGCGCAAGTGACGTGTCTGGGGATCAGGTATCCAGAGCCCCCTGGGTCTCCTCATGGGACAATAATCTCAGGTTTACCCTCCAGGTTAACATGGACCCCCGAAAACCACAACGGTTGATTCTCACGGGTCCACGGTTCAATTCTCACGGGAATAGTTGGTTTAGCACAGCAAGCTGTCGCATGGTCCTCTGAGTTCCTTTCGACGCATTGCTTCCAACAAGGACCCAGGCCGACTTTTGCACTGTAGACCCGTTTCGCAAGTGTATAACAAAACCATGTACCAATACGAAGAACAAATTACTGTATATACGCACCCTCCGTGCATGCTTGCAAGGACTTTACAACAGTTTGTGTAAAGGCTCAACCAAATCTCCGGATTTCATGCTGACAGCATGTCTGCAAGAACAAACAAAGCCAATCAACTGGTCAGGCGCCTGTGCCAACACGAGGAGGCTAGCAGGTTCAGCTTTGAATGCCAAAGCAAGTACCTGCACATATATACATATACTACTGTATATGCCAAAAACTTTGAATGCAGAATGCTCTGCCACTTTCAACTACGCATGTGATCTTCTATACAATCGAGTTGAGTTTCGATAGAGGGGAATACCAAACCCATTGCACATCTTTGCGGGATGTGGTGATGGCTATCTTTCACTGGCTTCACCCGGTTGCTATCCCGGACATAAACAGCTGTGGTCTCACACCTCCCCGTGTAGTCTCCTGCTCTGCACCACTGAGTGCTGGTCCTGACTGACCAAACAACTCATCCAAAACATTTGCCAAAGACGACCTGTCTCAAGTGCTTGTCAGTTCCACATGTCACTCCACAAGAACTGGCGCATCCACACCGGTACCGGTACACCCGGTGAAGACACAGAATGGACATCGACCCATGCGACAGCCTGAGATCGTGTACCCATGCATGGAACCTATATCCTGTCCATTCCTGCCCTATATCCCACACCACTGCATTGCATGTGCGGTGCCCTTCTCAATCTCTTCCATCACGCCTTATTATTGTTATTTATTGCTCATGATGACATTCCTGGCAGTCAACAAATATACGCACTACTACACTACTATATGATGGTTAACCAACATAAACACATGGTCTTTACCAACACTGATGATTGCACACCATTTGAGCATCGTATGTTCGGTGTTGCTGCAGTTGTGGCGCACCAGCGTTTTAGCAATACCTGTTCTGACTTAAGAATAATAATCATAAAAACTGACACGTTGTCCATGCATGAAGGCAATCAAGAAAACAATCCTCCTTGTCTGCCTGAGGAATACCTGAACAAAAGCTTCAGCTGGTTCTGACGCCTCAAACTGGGCTTGCCCTATGATGGCAAATTAATGATACTGTAAATGATTCCGTTTTTCAAGTCGAGGCTGTTCATGATGCCGCTCTATGACAACCCTTGAAAGGGCTGTCATAGATAGACAATTCTAATCGAAGAGCTGAGGGCAAGAATGTATTGACACGCCTAGAATTGGGTCGAGCAATGGCAGCTATTATGACCAACCATTAGATAGAGTTTGTTGTGAAAAAACATCGCAAATGCAAATTAAACTGCAAAAACAACACAATTTGTTTTCTTGTTGCATTGGTTTTGCTCTTTTCCTTGGTGCCACTTCTGTGCTTATGAGAACTTTTACCCGTCAGCAATATTCGCTGTACGTTCCTAGGAAAAAAACAAAAACACACACACATGCGAAAACCACAAAATCAAAACACAAATGTGAACATAAAGTGAAACATGACAAAGGATACAAAAGTCGACAAACATTAAAAACTACAATTTGTTGTTCTTTTTGTTTGCTTTACTTGTGTTTTGTATTTGTTTTAAACAAATTCAAATAAATTCTAAGGTTGGTGTGCCGAACTCAAGCCTAGAATGTTGGAACATACCTTGCACATGGCACGCTGACTCGCAAGCAACACTGCAACGCGATCCATCGCCGGTCACATATCGCTACCACTTGGCTTCGCCTTCGCATCAAGAACCTTCTCACGGCTCAGTTTCAGCTGGCCTCAAAGGGTGAAGAATTCAGTCGGAACCTCTACCACTCTACGACTAACATAAATCCAGAATCACGCAGGTCTTGTTTCGCAGTGGATTCTTGCATATTGCATGTCATATCATGTCATCCAAACATTGCTTTTGGTGCTTACCGATAGTACAGTAAAAACATGTAAAAGCATGGCTAATTACACTGTGTCACGGCTCGATTAAAGCACATCGGCGGGTAAGATGCACTGCAAAGGTATAAACACATTAACTGACCAGTCGTTGAAAACAACATCGATCTACTAGTAGCTGTGAACGGGAAGAACAATTGACCAAGGCCAAAAAAGACTGGTTCAATTGTTGAATGCACTCCACGCACGTGATCCATGACACAAGGCTCTAACACTGTTTATCCCGGCAAGAGACCCCAGACAGTGTGTGTGAGGTCTAGAGGTGTAGCAGCAGAAAGTCTAGGTGATGAAGGTGGAGATCGCGGCGGCGGCGGCAGCGGTGGTGGTGGTTGTGAGTGTGAGCGTCAGCGAGAGTGAGAGTGACTGTGAGTGAGAGTGTGAGACAGTGAGAGAGAGAGTGAGTGAGTGAGTGAGTGAGTGAGCGTGAGTGTGAGTGAGTGAGAGTGAGTGAGAGCGAGAATGAGAGTGAGAATGAGGGTGAGAATGAGAGCGAGAGAGAGAGAGCGTGAGAGAGAGAGAGATTTGAGAGTGAGTGAGAGTGAGAGAGTGAGAGTGAGTGAGTGTGAGTGTGAGGCGAGCATGTGTGAGTGTGAGTGAGAGTGAGGGTGAGTTTGAGTGAGAGTGAAAGTGAGAGAGCCAGAGAGTGAGAGTGACTTCGAGCCTCACAGAGTGCTGTGCCTGCCACGAAATCTGGCCTTCGAGGTTCACAAAGTGCTGCGCCTGCCACGAAATCTGCACTTCGAGGTTCACAAAGCACTGTTGCGCCTGCCAAGAAATCTGCACTTCCAGGTTCACAAAGTGCTGCGTCTGCCACGAACTCTACACTTCGAGGTTCACAAAGTGCTGCGCCTGCCACGAAATCTGCACTTCAAGATTAACACGCCGCAGCCCTGAGAAGGTGTTTCGCTGCAAGAACGCTTCCAAAGACAACATACAAATACAAAGACGCAGCTTTCGCGCGAGACTTCCCCCAATTTCTGAAAACGAGCCACATGTAGAAAAGTCACACTTCACTCCACCTGTCACGAAAATAGAGCGCGTTGAAGATCACCACCATATCCAAAGTGCTGCGCCTGCCACAAAATCTGCACTTCGAAGTAAGCCGCTCCGATCCCTTGCACCTGTCACGAAAAGTCGACTTTGGACCACCAAACCATGAGATTTCCCTTGCGCCTGCCACGAAAAGTGACCACGATGTCCGAAAATGCGCACGGCGCCAGAACCAGAGCGCAGTTGCGACAAGCACCCGCTGCGGCTCAGCAAATCCTGCGCAGTCGAAATTTACTTCGAGGATTTCGAGAGGCATGAATGCTCTGAAAATAGCAGTGAATTAGCCGGACGCCCCGGTGCAACACCTCGATTAGACACCGGTGCTTAACTACTGCCGTAAAGACCCTAGTGTGTCCATGTGTGTCCACACTGTTTTGGGAATAACAAAAAACAAAACTCATGTCCACAGCCTACAGGATCCTCCTGAGCGTCCCTTGCCGTTCTCTTCCTTGAGAACCAGCACTGATCTCTCAGAGCACAGGCAAGCCTGAGGATTGAGCTCTTGGGAGCACACACATGTCTAGGCTAGACTTTAACTTTAATTGATACAAAGAATCAGCTCCAGGGGATGGCATATTTCCTCCGACCACGGTCGATATGTCGCAGGGTTTTGTTGATGTGGGAAGGGAATGGAAGGGACATACGTTGTTTCAACTGAGACTGAGACGGAAACAAACGACTGAGAGCACACAAATGTCCGAGGACACTCAATAGACCCAAGATGACCCAAGGCTTTCATATCGTCTGACCTTCATCGTCGACTGGAGCTCTGGACTGCGCTTTTACCCGTTGAGGGTTGAAGGCATCCATCCCGCCAGCTGGGGTAAAGCTGACTGAGCTAGCCCTTGACATCCTTGACCCAGGCCCAAGTCCACAACAAACTCTTGCCATGGGTACAGTACTTCAATTTCCAGCGAGGCGAAGCCGTGAGCAGCTATGCGGCTATGACTTGCTGGGTCTCCCCTCACTCTTGACATTGCTTGCCAGGAAGGTTTCAGGCTCCCAACACATAGGCCGCAATCGAAAGGCCTGGAAGCAACCCTGAACACATGGTAGAAACATGTGTATAAAGCACTGCGAACACAAGACTTCAACACAGCCTTGTTATGCCTTGCTTCACTGACATTTGTGGTTTCATTCGTATGAACTGAGTTATCCTACCAATATTTGCTGCCTTTCATGGGACCTCTGCCAAATTCTGCCCACCCCGTTCACAGGCTCTCACCACTCACCTCGCGCGAGGTGAGAAGCAAGACTCCGGTGCCCGCAGCACCCATGACCAAGCGAGGTGACCCGAAGGAGAGGCGCCAAGAACGCAGCTGCAGGCCCAGCGGGTCGCCCTCGCCCAGCGGGCCCGGCGGGTCGGAGGGGCCTCGGGTGCAAACTCATATTAGTAGCGATGCCAGGAGCCCCGTTCGTATAGCGTCCTTGCTCCTAGAAGTACGGCCAGGAGCCCCTAGTAGCTTCTTGTTACTAGTACATAATAATGCCAGGAGCTACTAGTAGTTTCCTTGCTCCTAGTAGCAATGCCCTTTGTTACGTTTGTAGCTTCTACGATTTGGATTTCAGAACGAGCGCCAGAAAACGACACCATGCTTGACAAACATCTGTTTCTTAGATTTTCTTGGTCTAGCATCGGTCAGCAAAGGTGGTGGGTAGCATCCAACTCGAACACCTTTGAACCCTATCGCGATTGCCGGGTTTCTCAAATGCAAGGTCTGTCAACCAGCCGGAAACCACAAATGTTGTTTTGGGCATCTGAGCAAAGTTGTTACATCCCTGAAA